GCTTCCCTATGACCCTGCAATTGCACTACTGGGTATTTACCACAAAGATACAGATGTAGTGAAAAGAAGGGCCATCTGTACCCCAATGTTTATAGCAGCAATGGCCACGGTCGCCAAACTGTGGAAAGAACCAAGATGCTCTTCAACGGACGAAGGGATAAGGAATATGTGGTCTGTATACACTATGGAGTATTATGCCTCCATCAGAAAGGATGAATACCCAACTTTTGTAGCAACATGGACGGGACTGGAAGAGATTATGCTGAGTGAAATAAGTCAAGCAGAGAGAGTCAACGATCATATGGTTTCACTTATTTGTGAAGCATAACAAATAGCATGGAGGACAAGGGGAGATGGAGAGGAGAAGGGAGTTGAGGGAAATTGGAAGGGGAGGTGAACCATGAGAGACTATGAACTCTGAAAAACAATCTGAGGGTTTTGAAGGGGCGGGGGGTGGGAGGTTGGGGGAACCAGGTGGTGGGTATTAGAGAGGGCACGGATTGCATGGAGCACTGGGTGTGGTGCAAAAACAACGAATACTGTTATGCTGAAAAGAAATTAAAAAAAAAAAGAATAAATTCATCTGCAAACCACAAGAAGCCTCCCTTTCCCACATAACAAGTTCAGAGACAGGCAGTCCTTGTTAGCACAGGAGCTGCCCACTGCGACCCAGGTTCCTCCTGCCCGTCCTCTCTGCCATCCTTAGTTATACTCACTTGTCCTCACACTTGTCTTAGGGATGGTGATTTCTGGTAGGTCCACCTCCAAGGTTCATGTCCCTAAGAAGACAGGGAGAAATGGGTAGAGTCAAGGAAGAACAGGAACTTGTTTTAGTCAGGAAGAGAAGCTCTCCCCAGTGACTTTCACCTACCTTTCACTGACCAGCTTGGGCTACAAGAGGACAGAGATCAAGTTTGTAGCTTGTATAGCTTCCATGGCAGAACCTGGTCGGAGGTAGGAGAAATCAAAACTAGAAACTGTCAATCAGGTATTTCCGACAAGAAAAAGTCTAAGTCACATTATTAGATCTACCTATTTCCTAAAATCTTGTGAGCATACTTTAATCTAATTTACACGTGCTGATGTTGATTTCTATTTGCATAATCCTTAAGGTGATCTTACGTCAAAATTTTCCACTCTATATAAGCAATATTACCCTCCTTTTTTATATGGTCTACTTTATCAAAGTGAGCTAGGAAAAGGATTAAAAATATTTCCAGATGCTAGCTCAGGTAATAGGGTGAATAGGATATATTTTTATTTACATGTTATTTTTTAAATTGGTTCCTGGAATTTCCCCCAGCAGTGCCAAGAATATCTGTGGTCGGAAAGCAACAGTATCATGGATAATTTTACCTATCTTGCCACATGTTTGCCCTGCTTGGTCCAGACATGAATTGGAGTTGGTACAGATGTAAAGTCAGAGAATGGATTTTGTGCGTGTAGAGCCTTTTCCGCAGAGAAGTGCTTTATCTCCATCTGGTGGACAACCTTGTCTTTGCAATGTCGGTGGTGGTTCTCAGGCCCGGCTGCACCTCAGGATCCCCAGTGAGGCTTGCAAATAATCTGGATCCCCAGGCCCCTCCCCAGACCATTTCAATCAGATCTGGGAAAGGATACAGGCAGCAGCACTTCTGTTTTTCTAAGATACATAATTCTAATATGCAATTAGGGTGAAGATCCACTAAGTCAGAAGCTGCTCTAAATTGGTGATGATACTAGAGAATCATCCCTCCTGCAAGATTGCCATAAAGGAGAAAGGGCAATCTATGAAGGTAAATTCTAGAATGTTCCTGAGGCCTTTTACACGTTCCAGAGGGGAACTCAGCAAGTTGATGCTAAGAATATAAGAAAGCTAAATTTAAATTACTTCCTGCGTGACTCTCCCTATGAGACAATGTGCTGAGCAAATACATAATAAGACCTCTCCCTGGGCAAAACTCAGTCTCAATCTGATTTTAATTGTTTAGGTGTTTACAAAAATTTTTTACACATTTTCCCATTTAATTCTCTTAAGAACCTATGAAGGTAGGTAGTCCTTCTTCCCATGCGTGTTGGCACTCATCTAGCAACAGAAAGCCTTAGCGTATCCTAGGTGCCCACTCAAACCCTGCTTTTCCCTTCATCATCTCTCATTAAAACTTTAACTCCGCTAAACACTGTATTGTATAATTGATATTTCCTACTACAACTTAAATTTGCTAACCAAAAAAAGGTGGGAGGGGGTAAGTATGTGATGGATATATTAATTAACTTGATGGCTGGGGGATCCTTTCACTATGTATACAAATATCAAGTCATCACTTTGTACATTTTAAATATCTCACAATTCTGTCAATTAGATCTCAGTAAAGCTGAAAAAAAGAACTATCTGAGTAAAGACAACGCAAGTATTCTGTGTAATATTCTTATTCATGCAAATTTTCTGTAATTTTGAGATTTACAAACACAAAGTTTTTTGAAAGTATTTTTTAGAAACTGACTTTCTTTCTCAGCTTGGCTTTTTTTTTTTTTTTCCACTGATTACAGATTTTACTTCATGTGCACTTGATGACCTTGAAAGGAAAATATATCAAAGGCATATATACACTTATAGTTCTTATTCAACATGTAGCATGGAAAAATACATCTTATTTATTGCTTTTTACACATTCCAGAAAATATCCAAATGAAGATAGGTTCAAACTGGTCACCTCTTTAAGTGCTTCTCAAATTGATTCCCACTTACTCATGTCCTCTGATCCCATCTCCTGACCCCAGCCTCAAAGCAATCACTATAGTTTTGCCTCTACTTCTGGCTTTGTCTTTCCATGATAACCAATGTCGTCTTTTCGTATGTATATTGACCACTGCTTGTATCTTCTTTAGTGAAGGATCTGTTCAAGTCTTCTTTTACCAGAATTTTATTGGGCTGGTTGTGCTCTCATTACAATTTTATACAATCTTTTATTTCTCCCAATCAGTGGCTCATATACATTGTGTTGTTTTCCTCACAATTTTTAAGACTGTGTTGATTTTTCTTTCAAAATTTTCTTTATTGTTGTTTTTCAGTAGTTTGACTATGATCTTCTGAGGTGTAGTCTTCTTTGGATTTCTTTATTGGGGTTTATATCTATCAAAGCCAGTGTTTCTTCATAAAACTTATAAAATGACCATTTTTTGCAAGTATATTTTTCTGCCCTATTTTCATTTTTTATCCTTATGAATCTCCAATTACATGTCAATCCATTTGATATTGTTCTATAGGACCCTAAGGCTCTTTTCTTTCTTCAACCTCTTTTCTCCCAGTTTCGGCAATTTAAATTGATCTGTTTTTAAGTTCACTGACACATTCTTCTGACATTTCCGCTGCTAAATCTATCCAGTATCTCTCTCATTTCATTTATTTTACTTTTCTGCGGTAACAACTCTATCTTATTTTTTATACTTTCCATTTCTCTGCTGAGATTCCTTATGTCTATAGTCATTAAGATGACATTTCCTTCAAATCTGAACATACACTTAAGAGTTGCTTTAAAGTTTTTTGCAAAATTCAACATGTGCCATGTCAAGGTTTGTTTTGACTCTGTATCACACATTATAAGAGATACATTACAGAGAATCTGTATTGTATCTTCCTTTGAAGGGTGTTGATTTTTGTTCCAGGAGGCATTCTAATTACTGACTACTTTCAACTTTATGTAGGTTTGGTTTTATACTTCGTTAGTATGAATCTTTGGAAAGCACGAGGTATTTCTCAAGCCCTTCTAATTTGGTAAACTCTGCCTCCCTCACAAATCTCATTGAGGCTTGATTTCAGTCTATATTCAGGGACACTCATTTACACTCTGAGAGCTGAAACAAAAAGGCCATGTCACTTGTTCAACCTAGCTGGGAACATGCATGTTGGGCAACTCAAATTTTTGCCACTCTGCACATGTCTGAGAATGACTACAAAAGTGCCTACCCCACTGAGAAGTACATTTTCCCAAGTAAGCAAATCTGCAAATGTAATCCATGAATGAAGATCAACTGTGTATCTATTTTTAGCATAATGAAACCAGGTAACATTAAAAAAAAATATTAGTGCTTAAAAAGTTTTAATGAACTATTTTGATTAAATTTTCCCTAAACATAGTGTGTCTTAAGACACTAACGATAACTTGTTTCCCTGACTCAAGGTCATCATTATAATAAGCTAAATAATGATAAAATCCAAAGAAACCTTTAAGGTTTTACATATATAAATGTATACTCTTAGATTTAAAAGCCCCAGTTGGCAATAGTTCTTGAGGCTGCTGCTTTGGTTTTTGCTGGTTCCTTTTTCTTTTTCTTTTTTTTTTAAATCAAAGCTCAATAAACCTTAGCTGTATGATCTTATGAAAAGTAAATTTTATGGGTCTCAGTTTTCTTATCTATAATATTAAGAAAATGCATTTCTTAGGTCCTTCCAGATCTAAAATTCTATCTTTTCTAGCTAGCTGTGCCTTTTCAGACTCTAGATGATTCTTTTCTTCCTGCTTCTGATCTTCTGTGTTCCCAAAAAATAGGAAAGCCAACTCTATTTGCTCACTAACAAATAAAAGACATTCTAATTAAAGACTTGAGATCTTTTCTAAATTATGTGCCCACAAATTCTGGCAACTAGGAGACCTGTACACACTTACTCCTGGATCTTAGCTATACTCCAAACAGACACGTAAAATCAGTTGTATTTCCTAACAAATGAAGTAAAAACAATTCATAAGACACTGTTAAATACAGTAATCCAAATATCTGACCTATGATATGTGTAAAAAAACAAAACAAAAAAACAGCATCCTTCCTAGGATCTTCACTGATCCTATGCCTAGGATAAAAGGAAAATGAACAGAGTTTTTATATAGCATAATGTATAAACTTGTCAAATCACTAAGTTGTATACCTGAAACTAATGTAACATTGTGTGTCAACTATACTTAAAAAAAGAGGAAGAAAAAGAAACTATTATAAAAAGTCTTAGAAAAGTAGACAAATGGTGCTGTTGATTTATTGTCTTTATTGAATTAAAATTATACTATGTATAAAATAGCAATGTATACACAGGAATTAATGCATTATAATATATACAATTATCTTTGAAAAGTCAGGACTCAAGTTACAATGATTATGAACATAAAACCTCTATTAAAACATTTTCCATAAGTGATTTATTTAGCTGTTTTAGTTCGGAGTCGTCGTTTGAGAATCTGATGATCACTTTCCTTTACTTTATGGTCCATCAAAATCTGAAATTAACAATTTCATAATATTTTTATAAATAAAAGGTTATTTATAATTTAGTAAGATCTATTCATGTGCTTAATAATTGAAATAACAGGTACAATGTTTTTGTCCCTTTAGACTATAAGTATACTAATCTATTAAAAAGCATTATCTAAAGTAATAGATTTTGTAATGATTCTTCCAACACTACCTAACATAGGATTAAAATAATCTACACCCTATACGGATTTCAGGACATATATAGCTTGAAGTAATTAATGAAATATTTGGAGGCAAGTGCCTCAAATACTGTTTAAGAAAAAAATCTTTCAGAGCAACAAGTACAAAAATCCCCCCTTATCTGTGGGGCCTATGTTACAAGTGGATGCCTGAAACCAAGGATAGTACCAAACCCTATGTTTATTGTTTTTTCCTATATATACATACCTATGATACAGTATAACTTATGAGTTAGGCACATTATTGTATTAACAACAATTCACTAATAAAACAATTATAACAACATACTACAGTAGGTTATGTCAATGTTGTATGTCTCTTCTAAGTATTTTATCTACTGTACTCTCCCATCTTCTTATGATGATGAGAAATGATAAAATGCCTATGTGATGAGATGAAGTAAGGTGAATGACGTGGAGGCACTGTGACACAGTGCTAGGCTCTTACTGATCTTCTGAAATATATCAGAAGGAGGATCATCTGCTTCCAGACCATGAAGACCATAGGACACTGAAACCATGGAAAGCAAAACCAAGGATAAGAAGGGACTACTATAGTGCTCGCTTCAGCAGCACATATACTAAGAAGGGACTACTGTATATAACTTAGAAGAGTAGAAAGAGCATTATATTGCAACTAAGAAAAGAAAGAAATTCGGTCAAGGGAAGAAATTATACATTAATCAGACAGATAGTGAAAAGTGACCAAGAGAATAGTATTTCCTATTGACCCTAATTCTTCACCACCTGCCTTCCAGTGTCTGGTATCTGACATCTACTGCTGCAAAAGGTCTCTGCCCTGATTTCTCTTAGCCACTTCCTGTTGAAGGCTTCTCCTTAAATTACTTTTCTACCATCCCTTTCATCCACTAGGCAAATGCAAGCATGATGGAAAATTAGAACTTTCCCTGTAATAGCACAGATTGTTCTGAGTGAAGAGATGAGTCATCGAGTCAGGATGACAAACTACAGCCTTTTCTTAAAAGAACCTGGAAGGCTTAGAGGAAAGGTGGGAGGAAATGACTGAATGTCAATTCTATATTTTTACCAGGCCCACTTAGGCCAGATTTGTACAACTCTTGTAACAAAGTTAACAAAAAAAAAAAATAGCTGTTAGAAGCAAATAAATGACTGAACAGTGATAATTCTATTGATGGGATTAAAATTTCTCTGATTAATTTACAAATGTAAATAGGTGACACTTGTATACATTAATGCAGTACTTACAATTATCATAAAGTTAATACATCAGATAGCAAAAGTATAACATTTAAAGCATATTCCAAGAGATCTGATCTAAAGAATAAAAATTCAAACCATTATAAAATTCAGATTGTTATGAATACTCCCAAATTAAAAAGAACATGAACAGTTTTATTTTTAAGAAAACCAAAAAGAGTAGCTTACCACTTGCCCAGATATATCAATAGGAGATGAAATTTCATTTGTGTATAATTTCCGTTTGGCCCGTTTTGGTCGAGACATGTTTTCTTTACTTACTTCCACATTTGAGAGCTTTGAAGAGCTCATTGTTTCAATTATCTTCTTTGCTGTGAAGGAAAAAATGAAACAAGATGGGATCAGGAGGGAGAAAACCATAAGAGACTCTTAATCTCATAAAACAAACTGAAGGTTGCTGGGGGGTGGGGCGGTTAGAGATACGGTGGCTGGGTTATGGACACTGGGGAGGGTATCTGCTATGGTGAATGCTGTGAAATGTGTAAGCTTACTGATTCACAGACCTGTACCCTTGTGGCAAATAATACATTACATGTTAATTTAAAAAAATTTAAAAATCTTGTTTGGATCTAAAAAAAAAGAGAGTGTGTGTGTGTGTGTGTGTGTGTGTATACATGTGTGTGTGTATATGCACATATATATATATATATATATATATATGTAAATTATTTAAATCCTGAAACAAATAACTTTCTAACTGAAAAGGTATGATCCTTAATAAAGAAAAACATAGCAAATTAAAGAGAAAAAGCACTGTGAAAGGACATGACTAGTCAACTCACAAAGAAAAAAATTAACTGTCTCATAAACACATGAATAATGATGAACAGCAAAAACAAAAAAACAAACAAAACATCATTTGGCTAATGTCAAAAAAAGGTCTGGTAAATTAGAGTACAGCCAATAAAATTCAGGTGTTTTTAATGACTTGGAAAGGCTTATGCTGTTATGCAAAAAAGCCTGGACCATGCAGCAGTACACATATGTAAAGATATCCACAATAAATGTTAAGTGAAAGTAGTTTAGAATTGTGAGCCCTTTGCTTATCACTAATACACACATACACACACACATAGAGTAAATCAAATTCTTAAATTTTTTTTTTAAGATTTTATTTATTTATTTGACAGAGAGAGATCACAAGTAGGCAGAGAGGCAGGCAGAGAGAGAGAGGAAAGCAGGCTTCCTGCTGAGCAGAGAGCCCAATGCGGGGCTCGATCCCAGGACCCTGAGATCATGACCTGAGCCGAAGGCAGCGGCTTAACCCACTGAGCCACCCAGGCGCCAGTGTAAATCAAATTCTTAATAGTTGATTGCTTCTGGGAAGTGGAATAAAAATTTCCAATTCTTACTTTGTACATTTGTCTTTCAACAGGTACGTATTAATTTTAATAGAAAACATATTTCCATCTGGGAAACCTCCTGGGTAGAAAATCCTTGTACATATAATATCAAGTATATTTTTTTTAAATAGAAAAAATATTGAAGGAAATATGCTAAATTGAAAATCTACTTGTAAAGTGTTGATTTGTCCTTGAAAGAACTGAGCTGCCCAATGTCAGAGCAGCCAATTAAGTCAATAAGCCACAATGAAAGTAATACTTAAACCTTTAACTACTTACTGCAATAATAGAATAAGCAAGAGGCAAAACGTGAGAAAGTGCCAACTCCCACCCCCACCTTCTGTCTTTCCCCAAGTGTGGTCCAGGTCAGAAAGATCAGAACAGAAATGGGAGGTCACCCCCTGCCGAGGGAGCACTGAACAAAAGCTCTTGCACAGCAGTTTTATGGATCTTGGGACTGGAGGCCAGAGGAAGGGCTACGAATGGAAAAGTAAAGTCAGAGGAGAAAGTGTCTTCAAGCTTCTCTCCCCTTTCCTGCCATAAGAAGGTCTTAGGCAGAAGTGCCTGAGGAATTTCTCTGCTGAAGGGCCCTGGTAAAGAGGCTCTCAATGAAGGCACCGTGGCTAGAACTACAGATATGCATCAGGGCATTGCTGGCCAGGGTCCTGAGTCCTTGACTCCTTTCAGAAACTGCTCACCTTTGCTGTGGAGAGGGCAGTTTTCCCCATGAGGCCTAACAGGTAAAGCCTTTGTAAATGCCTATGGTCAGCCTAAAAAGAAGATTTTGGCCAGTACCACCAAACTCATTACAGTGTGCCAGCCCGATACTAAGAGCTGAGAATGGGAACCATACAGACACGCTGCGCTTATGAAGCTTATACAATAGTGCAAAAAGTCAGAAAACAAAAATCATAGCTTAACTAATTCAATTTGCACTTTGAAAAGATCACGGGCGGCCACGCACTGGATGGACAGGAGATAGATAAGAGGAAAAAGTTGGAAAACCAGTGAATGAAGGAATGAAATAACGGTGATTATCTAGAACAGATTTTTAAAATTAATATCTGTTTTTTCCCCCTACATTTCCAAGTGATCAACAACAGACACAGTGTAGTTACAATGCAAATAGGGGTATCTTCTACTCCTAGAAATAACTTTAAAAAAAATCCACACGAGGGGCACCTGGTTGGCCCAGTCAGAAAAGCATTTGACTCTAGATCTCCGGGTTGTGAGTTCAAGCCCCATGCTGGGTACAGAGATTAAATAAATAAACTTAACAAAAGAACAAAAAAACAACAATAACAACAGCAGCAAAAAAAAAACAGGCGCCTGGGTAGCTCAGTCCTTGTGTCTGCCTTCAGCTCAGGTCATGATCCCAGGGTCCTGAGATTAAGCCCTACATTGGGCTTCCTGCTAAACTGGAAGCCTGCGTCTCCCTCTCCCACTCCCCCTGCTTGTGTTCCCTCTCTTCTGTCTCTCTTTCAAGTAAATAAATGAAATGAAAAAAAAAAAAAAAAAAAAAAAAAGACCCACACCAGGTATACAGGAAGGGAAGAGGTTACAGAGCTGAGTCAACCAAATAACGAAGTCAATTACCATATGGGTACTTCCCTGTCCTTGAAAACCTATTTTCTTTTACTATGTAAGTGCTAATCAATATAATTTAAATAAAATACTTATGGATCTAAAATAACAAGTCCTGCCTCTCCACATTCAGACATTTAACAGTTTGCTGTTTGTCCCTTCTATGTTTATACTAATTACACCTTTTAAAAAAGTACATATTTTTTGAAAAATATATACAAATGGGGTCTGGTAAGTCTGAAGTTCCCAAGCTGTGCACTAAGACTAGAGCCAACTCACAAGAGCATCTTGAAATATTTTAAATATTCAAAGAAAACAGTGACATACAATAGCTCAAGATAATTCATAGTTTCAAATGATAACATATTACATTCCTTTTGATGATGATGTATCTTTGCAACACTGATTTTCAGAAGCTGAGTTTTCAGTAGTTGTTTGGCCTTAGTACTAATGGATAAAATATTAGGTGTTTCTCTGGGTACAGGGGAACAATGAAAACAAAACAAAAAAATCACTCACTGAGACATTAAGGGCACTGTGAACAAAGAAAGTTTGGGGACCTCAGTGTTAAGTTTTTACAGAAAAGTGTTTTTAGACTTCTACTATCCCCTGCTTTAGTTCCTTTCCTTCCCCATTCTCCTCACTTCTAGTCTCTAATTTATCCAAGTGCTACCAATGAGGCAATCTCCTGAAAATCTACTCTACTGCCTGCCCCTTTCCCCAATGCTCTCTCCACACTCTCCATGTCAGATATGTACTGTTACCCCAAAGTGCCTGCATATGCTCTACACTCTCCTGGTACTGTGCCTCTGTTAAAACTGTTCCCCTACAGCAGATGTGTGTGTGTGTGGGTGTATGTGTGTACATATACATGTATGTTTGTGTTTATGTATATGTGTACAGAAAAAGTATAGATCTTAGTATGTGTTTATACACAGGTAGTTAATAAGGTTAATGTTATATTATAAAGAAAAAAGCATGAAGCAACTAAACCCAATAGATATTTACAGAAATACATATTTTTGATATATATGAATCGATAATGTTTGTCAATGCATAGAAAAAAATACTATAAGAATATATACCATAATATAGTGGTTACCTCTAGAGGGTGTAATCCTGCCAGGATTTCAATACCCAAGTTAATCCCATCTCTTTCAAAAATTAAAATTTTCCCTTAGCCTCTGAATCAGAATAGCTCTCTTCCCTCCAATACTACCACAGCACTTTGCTTGAACCCTGTAAGTACATTAAGCAAGCCGCTTTGAATTAATTTGATCCTTGAACAACACAGAGCTTTGGGGTGCTGACCCCTGCAAATTGTCAAAAATCTGAGTTCAACTTTTGACTCTCCAAAAATTTAACTACTAATAGCCTACCGTTGATCACAACTCTTACTGATTAACACACATTTTGTATGTATTATATATTGAATTCTAACAATAAACTAGAGAAAACAAAATGTTATTAAGAAAATCATAAGAGAAAATACATTTACAGAAGTGTACTTATCAAAAAACATCCATGGGGCACCTGTGTGACTCAGTCAGTTAGGCCTTTGAATCTTGATTCTGGCTCAGGTCATGATTTCAGGGCTGAGAGATTAAGCCTTCTGTCCGGCTCCACGCTGGACATGGAGCCTGCTTAGGATTCTCTTTCCCTCTCCCTCTGCCCCCACCTCTAAAAACAAAAGAAAACAAAAACCATCCACATATACGTCGACCTGTGCTGTTCAAACCCGTGTTGCTCAAGGCTCAACTGTACTCACATATGGTTCGTTCTCTTCCACTCCAGTGAACATCTAAGCATCACACCCTCTCATACTCTCCCATAGTAATCAAAATAAGACAATGTCTGTTCGAACAATGGTAATCACTGTTGTTGAGTTTACACACTAGTCAGATATTAGAAACATCTAACATAAAAGGTCATTTAGTTTTCTGCAAACCTTTTGATTGAAGAATTGTTGGAGAATGTTGTAAGAAGTCTCCAAATTTCTGTAGTGTTCCTTCTTTTTTCTTAGTGGTCACATCTATACTAACTGTGGATGCCTGACTCCGTAAAGAGTATGTTTTCTTAGATGATGGACGTGTGGAAACCTAAAAAACAAACATTTTTTGTTACTGTCAATGAGAAATGTTAAAAGGAAACAGTTGTAACCATAGCTGAATTAAAAGAGGCCACAAATTCACAGGCAAGGAACTCGGGATTAAGTAAATGAGAGGAGGATAAAAGAACCAAGGCATAGCAAGATGGGTGTGACAAGCTGACTCAGAAGTATTGAAGGGCCTGCTGCTGGCCCAATGCTAAAGGTTATACTCTAAGCCAAATTAGATGAATAAGAAATGGAATATAAATGAGTTATAACTGGACAAAAGTGGATTTCTGAGTAATTACTGATCAACTTTTACATCTTTATTTTTATATTCTACTTTATAAATATAAGTTAAGAAAATGATCAATTCTGAACACATTAAAAGACAAACCTTTTGTTCCTTTTTGACAGAAGAATTTCTATGCTCAGAAACAGGAGACTTCAGATTAGGTCTGGGTGTAGCATTCTTCTTATTTTCACATTTCACCAAGTCCTAAAATTAATGAATTTCAGTACTAGTTAATTCCTAACAATATTTTCTTTGTCTAGGCTTTTAAAAAAGATGATTTTTTTTTCTTTTGAAGATTTTATTTATTTATTTGACAGAGAGAGAGAGAGATCATAAGTAGGCAGAGCAGGAGGCAGAGAGAGGGGGGAAGCTGGCTCCCGGCTGAGCAGAGAGCCAATGGGGGCTTGATCCCAGGACCCTGAGATCATGACCTGAGCCGAAGGCAGAGGCTTAACCCACTGAGCCACCCAGGCATCCCAAGATGATGGTTTTTAACCAAGGGCGATTTTGACCCTAGGAGACACTGACAACGTCTGGAGATATTCTGGGTTGTCATTGCTGGGGTAGGAAGGTGTCTACTGGCAACTAGTAGTAGAAGCCAGCAATGCTCCTAAATACCCTTATAAATTCATAGGAGAGCCTTCCAAAACAGAGGTGTATAAACCCAATATCAATCATGCTGAACTTGAGAAACCCTGACTGAAGGTATGACTTTTTCTCCCAACTTCATTGAAGTATTATTGACATATAACATAGGTAAGTTTAAGATGTACAATGTGAGGATTTAATACACACGTATATGGGAACATGACTGAAGGTATAAATTTTTCACACACATCATAAGTAATGAAATTACATAAGCTAAATAAGAAATAGTAGAAGGGATACCATCTTTTATTTGAACCCCATTTCTAAAATATAGCAATATATCTACTCTTTCCCCAACTCCCAAATCATGCAGAGTCTCTATGTTTAAGAACTCTTATTGAAATCTGGCAGCATCAAAAACAAAACAGAACAAGAACAAGTAAAAATCTTCAGTATAAGCACAGGCAAAATGTTAAAATCAAGAAATATAATCTATCTTCCCTACTAAATAGGTACGACATATTACTTTTTTTCTCCCATATAACTTCTCTTAGGACAAAGTCTCTTGTAGTATATTAACTGAATCAAACTCATACAAATCGTAGTTGTACCAAAGATTATAAACATAAAAGGGGAAAAAAAAAAAGGCAAGAAAAGAAACAAAGAAAAGATTATGACTGAACCTCAGAATTTAAGTTACAAAGCAAAAGTCATAAGGGTAATAAGAAGTGGACTTCCTGAAAGGGGAAAGACGGATGGCATCAATGGGAAACAAATGCACAGTAGTAATGCATCATACTTGCAGTGTGCAATGAAGAGGGCTCTAGAGTCTTCTCTGGGTTAGAACGTACAGAGCACTACACAAGTGGTTGTCATGAGGACCTTACAACACTCGGTTTACTAGAGCAGTGAAGAGCTAGTAAAATCAGGAAAAACCTTAAGTTTCTACATGATTTATCTACACCAATCTGGACATCTATTCTGAAAAACACTTGGGGAGTATATACCAACAGTAAAATGAATAAAATAATGGGTTTTCAAATCCCTGAATACACAACCAATTTTTCCTTTTCCCTTGAAAAAAATTAATCAAGGAAAAGTCAAAATAGATCATAATGAAATTAAAATACTATTTTAATGTTATCTAAAATTTATTAAATATAAATTGAATAAATATTGAATAAAAGTTAAGGCTCTACTAAACAAGCACTGAAGTATTCTAGGTGTAGCAGGGAAGATGCTAAACAAATTTCATTTGGCAAATTTATTACCTGACAGAGAGCCTCAGGAGTATGGTTAATATTATTTCTGCTCTTCCACCAGCTTGAAAATATACTATTCTTTAAAGAGGTAGAAAAAAAAAAGTTGAAGAAAAGTTATTGTGCTAGAGAGTTTATAATTAGTTTTAAATTTAAAACAAGTTACTTTTTTAAAATAAATACTACCATTTAGTATGTATCCACCAAATGTGGAACAAAAGCTAAGCATTTTAAAAATATTATCTCTAATCCTTTATTTCCAAAAGGAGTAAACTGAGAATGAGAAAGTTTATGTGACCGGCCAAACCTGCTTGACTAGGATACGGCAGAAGATTTGCTAACCCTACAATCAGAGAGCTACAGTACAAAGTAGTAAAGAGTTTGTATCCTACCACTAAACAGAGGTCCACATTTTAATACACCAGCTGATAGAAAAAGTCTCTCTTCCAAAATCTACTATAACCATAGGGAACTAGATTTTAGTTAAATAACAAAGATTATACTCGAGCAATTTAGCCATTTGGTTTCTGTAATTTATCAACCCTTTTCTCTTCCACTAGAGGGAAAAGTCACTAAGTTTGAACAGGACTGGTATACTGAAATAGCTTTCCACTGAAATCTACCACCGATCAACCTATCACAGCTTCAATGAAACAAAGGCTAAGTTTTAATAACCCTAAGCTTTTTGCTTAAGGACTATTCAACTATAATAATATTCTTTTTTTTTCAAGATTTTATTTATTTATTTGACAGAGAGAGAGAGACAGCAAGAGAGGGAACACAAGCAGGGGGAGTGAAAGAGGGAGAGGCAGGCTTCCTGCTGAGCAGGAAGCCCACTGCAGGGCTTGATCCCAGAACCCTGGGATCATGCATGCGCCAAAGGCAGCCGCTTAACGATGGAACCATTAAGGTGCCCCACAATAATATTCTTAAGGAGTACAAAATATGCCACAAATTATTATTTTGGTCTCCAATAACAGTGCTTATGAACAAGAGGGCGGTATGAAAGTTTAATTATGTATAATAACTAAGCTTAAGTTTTGCTTGTTAAATTTACTCATTAGTTAAGTACTTACCTCCTCCATTTCATTACTCTTCCTCTTCCGGGCCTTGGGAATCTTAACCGTCACGGGTAAAGTGCAACCAGGGTGTTTCACTGCCATTTTGTTTGGCCGTAAAGGTGTAAATTGAATCTCTAACTCAGGTTTTGGAAATCGAGTGGTTTGATTATTTTCTGTTGACACTTCACAAGAGTCAAGAACTACAGAGCCATCCTACAACAGAATTAAAAAGAAAAACAAATCTTATTTGCAGAATATGAATTCATGAATCACCAAGAATTAACTCTTTCAAATACCTATCAGAGACAATGAATTGGAAAAGGTTAAAAGAGTGCTGGGTCAAATTAACCACAGCAAGGACAGAAAGATGAAGTTATGATCTACACTCTCCAGGTTTATACACGATATGTTAAAATCCAAGGAAACAGAGATCAGTATTTCCCAAACTTGTATGATCATAAGGATAATTTAGACAATTTGTTTAGAAGATTCTTGGACCCTACCACTAACCTACTACTGAGTTTGTTGGTACTCCATTTTTATTTTGCACCCAGGAAAAAGAGCCTCACCAGTCCCACCTGCCTCTTAGTCCTGGCCCCAGGAGGCAGCCCCCGTGATGTGGGCGAGCACTGCTACTGGAGTCAGGGATGACTGGTTTGAATACTAGTTCTGCTCACCTCTTACTCTGGGTTACTGTGAGAAGGTTCCTTAATCTCTTCACTTTTTTTCTTTTCTCTTGTTGAAGAAGGCTTACCTACTTCCAGGGTTACCATGAAGAATAAATTATGGGACATCCTGCATCACAAACCTACTAAATCAGCAATCTCCTAAGAAAGAGTCTAGGATTTTTAATAAGCATCCTAGTTAAGGTAGATTAAATTGGCTTCTAATTCTTTGTTACTCTTCCCATTGAGAAATGGAGTCTCATTCCCCTTCCTTGAATCTGAGTGGTCCTTAATGACTTCCACGGCCAACACGATGTGGTGGAAATAACACTGTCGTTCTGAGGTTCAATCATAAGAAGGCTATAACTGCCATCCTGTCCTCTTTGAAAAGTTATTTTCACTCCCCCTTCAAAATGCCTCATTCAGAATGCAGCCACTGTGCTGTGAGAATCCCAAGCCACAGGGAGAGGCCACATATAGGTCCAGCTGAGCTCCCAGAAATCAACTATTAGCTCTATGAATGAATCGTTTTAGACTTTAAGCAAAACAGAGCATATTGATTTCATATAGGCAAGAAAAATATACAAACCAGCATAACAAAACCATTCCCCAGAATACACAGTAACTTTTGGAATTCGTAGTAAGAACTGGAATCAGGAGGTTTAAGACATAAATTTATGTATACATATATATAGTTGTATAAACATACATAAATTTATATATAAATTTATAAAGAAATGTTCCATATATAACTGCCTTTGCAATCAAGATTAATCTTGTTTATGAATTAACTTCAAACTTTTCTTCAAATGATATGATCTTAGTCTCTAAGGCCAATGCTAATTATCTGAAATTCCACCAAAAACTATCAAAGAAAGGGCAAGAGAAAAGAAATGGCTCCTGCTATTTCTCCAGCTTAAGATACCCCTCTCTTCCTGTTCATAGCTCGGTAAAATCTATTCACCTCAAGACCCACTATGATGTTAGCTTCTCTAATCCACATCCACAACCACTCAGGCAAAATTCATCATATCCTCCTCTCAGGCAATGTTCCTTCTTAGCACTCTTCATGACTCTTGGCCCACAAGAAGAAGTCAAACAAGTAGTCATTTAGGCATCTGTCTTACTACATTCTTTACTCCTTGAGGATGGCGATCATGCCTTATGTTTGTACTCTCAGTATTTAGCAATGTTCCCAACCAACACTGAAAACTTGCAAATGTGTTTAAAAAACAAATGCAAAAAAGGAATTTTGTCTTTAAAACTTTAAGTGACATAGAATTTTTATCTATTTCATATGTAATCTAAGACTCTATTATCCAAAGTGATTCATAGAACCCTAAGCCCACTACAGATTAAGGAAACTCACCGTGAATTACCGAGATATGGTGACAAAGTTATTAAATGGGTACGATTTAAAAAAAAAAAAAAATACTGAGTAGAATGCATATTAAAAGGACATCTTGGGCGCCTGGGTGGCTCAGTGGGTTAAGCCTCTGCCTTCGGCTCAGGTCATGATCTCAGGGTCCTGGGATCGAGTCCCGCATCAGACTCTCTGCTCCGCAGAGAGCCTGCTTCCTCCTCTCTCTCTCTCTCTCTCTCTGCCTACTTGTGATCTCTCTGTCAAATAAATAAATAAAATCTTTAAAAAAAAAAAAAAAAAAAAGGACATCTTATGAGGATATCATCGATGTTTTATCTTTTGTAGGATTTCCTATTTCTGACCATCAAGTTTGTTTATAATAACAGATGGGTTGTTTGCAATAAGTATCATTTTGAGAAGAGATTAATACCATTTGGGGATCTAATCTTCCAAAAGAATTTCACTTCTCAAAAGGCTTTAGGTTTTCCTTCCCAAAGCCAAGAGCACATACACCTAACTGCACAGTAAGATACTTACAACAACTGATTAAACTTGCAAATGTTATTTACTAATTAACAGTCACAGTAAAGAGGGTAAAAAGTGGACTGTGTTACCAAATGCCCACCTCTACCTCATTCCTAGAAACTTCAAAACTTGTTGACTGAGGTTCCGTTTCAACTCTGCCAGGATCCATTGAACTCATATGTGTAGGCTTGATATCGACATTTTGTTCTTCCTAAGAAATATTAAAACAAGCCATTGTAACCAAATATGTATTAAAACACTTCACCTAAAGAAAAGAAAATCAAGATTTGGGTGGATTAAATCACGGAAGTAATGAAAGACTTCCTCCTCTCATTCTCAGAGACTTAGGAAAGGCTGGGAAACTTGCCAGCCTCTGGGCCTGATTGAAAGAGAAATCTAAAAGACTACTTTCAATTTTCAAAATTTTAAGTGTATTCTCTCATTTTACTTTCATTCCAACTCTCTCAGCTAGATTTGGCAAGAATCATCATTCCTACTTTCTAGATGAGGAAACCAAAACCTAGAGATATAAAATCCCATGGCTAAGGTCTGTATTAAGTTGGAAGTGCTGGAACCCCAGCAACTGCTTTGACAACACCATTCCGAAAAACTTGAGGAGTCTTGAGAATGCAACTACAGTATCAGAGTAGAAAAGACCATATTGATAACCAAACCTTTTCTTGCTGCATACCTCATCCCTTTTTCTCAGTCAGGGTATGTTCTATTCCTATACTCTATTTAAGGGATCTATAAAGAAGTATCAGATTATATTTTTAAACTTGATAAATTCCACCATTCCACCTTGATAAACTTGATAAATTCCACAATTCCACCACTTGAAAAATTCTGCCTTCTCACAACTGCCATCAAAAGCAGAAGTCATACATATCCTTTATGTCACCTACCCAAATAAAAAAGGTTGTACCGAATCTACAATATGGAACAACTAGCATGTATTGACATCCACTGTGGTAAAAACTGTGCTGTTTTGCAAATGTTCTCAATTTTCACAACTCTATTAGGAAGACATTACTATCTCTGTTTTAGAGAAGTTTAGATGTAGTAAGTAATTTTCCCAAAGATCGCGAAACCACAGTGACAGCAACACACACCTAGTTTTTCTGTTTCTAGTCTGTGCTGTTTATACCACGTGCTACTACCTCTTTTTTTTAGCAGTCTTCCTCTTAGAATCATGAAGTCTTTGGTTGTGACAGGCACATACATTTATCTTCCTATTGTCTGGAGGCAGCAGATTTTTAAGCATTGATCATTTATTTTGGAAATACTAGCTTCAGATGTACTCTGATTCAATTATACCAGGAAGTAGCTATCTGTGAAATGCAATCCTCTCTCCATGCAGGGTTCCCAACCCTGATGTAATATTACAAAACTAACTCCTGAATGACTCACCATCGTGAGTCACTATCAAAACAATTCATTTTCAAAACAATTCATATCTTTATATAGTCAACTATATAGTTGTTAGGGTGGGCCCAAGTATTTAAATATTACCAAGAGTTCAGGTTGAATCACATTTCCACATTTGAGAGGTAGATGAGGGACTAAATCACAAATTGTTTATTTTCTAATTACACTACCTGAAAGATATGACCAAAATATTTGAGGAAGTACTATTTCTCAGGTGGTTACTGGCAAATCAATCATAATGATAAAACTCTGAAAACATGACATACATAATAACTACCCAAATAACTTTTCCAACTCTGATTCCTCTGTGATCTATTGAAACTTATTTTTTTTATCTCCTGAGAGTTAATCAATTAAATAATTGTGAAAAATTCCTGTGTTCAATTAAAAAAAGGCATTGAAAGATAAGGATAAGATTCTACTCACGGTTTTAGGAGGCTCCAACGTGATCTTTCTTAATTGTTCAATTTCATTATCTTTCTGGATATTACTGGAGATCAGTTCCTTCAGCTGTACTTCTAAAGCCGCAACCAGTTGATCCCGTTCTTCTCGCCACTTCTGAAGATTCTCATCTTTCTCTGCTAGTTGTGCTGTAAGTATTTCCTAACCAGAAAATAAAGAAAACATTATGAAAGTAAGAATTTTTTGAAATTTTTACTAGAAATAACACAACTATGAATAAGACATGGAACAAACTACATAGTTAAGGCTAGATAAAATATTTACTTGTAAAACAAAATAAATATACAATGCCTTCACATATTTACTGCCCACATGCTGTATTCATCCTTATCCCACCCTCATTCCAAAAATCAGCTTATTGGTCACTTTTTCAAAAAGCAATTATTGTTTTTAAACTAATGCTAGCATTTCCCCCAGTATTTTGGAAATTAGAGGGTAAAATTACAGTCAAGCAAATGACAAAACTAATAGGAACAAACAACAGAGAAATGAAAATTTGAAGTACCATTTTCAGTGAGTTCTAAAACCATGAAATAGTGGTGAATTAAAGAAAATATGCATCAGACCTAAACATGAGAAGCCACAAAACACTGCTGAAAGAAAAATACATCAATAAATGGAGAGAGAATTTGTGCTCAATGATCAAAAGACTCCATATTGTTAAGATGTCAGTTTTCCCTAAATAGATCTAAACAAAGTCAAAACAATCTCAATCAAAATCCAGGCAGGTGAGAGTGCAAGTGTATGGAAATGGGAAGGCTCTCTGTAAAAGTTATATGAAAATGCAAACGATCTAGAATAGTCAAAATTATGTTGAAAATGAAGAACAAAGTAGGAACAAATACACTGTCATTTCAAGCCTACTATAATAATCAAGACAATGTGATACTGGTAGGAACAGAGATCAGTGGAATAGAAAAGAAGGTCTACAAGCTCACGGTCAACTGACATTCTACAATAATAACACCAAAATAAGCCAGTGGAGGAAAGGACAGTCTTTTCAATAAAGAATGCTGGAACAACAGCCAAATGGAAAAAAAAAAAAAAAAAGAACCCTAATCCCAATCTCATACCATATACAAAAAGCAATCCTTGGACAAAAGTGCCAGAGCAGTGGGAAAGTTTTTTTGTCAATAAGTACTACCAGGAAAATTAGTAATCCACATTAAAAAATTAGTCTTGATGCCTAACTCACTCCAACACAAAACTCAATACTAGAATCAAAATATGAAAGGTAAAAACCTATACAGGAAAAAGTGTAAGAGAACACCTTCATGTCTTTAGGGTTAATAAAGGAAAAGATCAGGAAAATGAACTAAAATATATTTAAGAACTCAAATTCATAAAAAAGCATTAAGGGAATAAAAAGTAAACTAGAAACTGAAAAAAGGTACTTGTAACACATGACAAGCATAGGAGGGTTCCTATCCAGAAAGTGTAAGAAGCTCCTACTTATCAACTAGAAAAAGCCAGATAGTTCAAGAAGAAAAAGGTACAGGGCCCTATAATCTTCAACCTCATTAATACTCAGTTAAAACCATAAAATTGACCATAAAAATGACCAATAATACCACATTTTTGAAAATATACAGCAACTCTAATACTACTTAGAGTATAAATGGGTATAACTACTCTGAAAACCAATACGACATTCTACCAGAGTTCGACACACATATACCCTATCACCCAACACTTCCATTCTTAGCTAACTATGCAAGAGAAATGCATGCACATGTGACTGAGAGAAATGTATAAAAATGTTTATAGGAGAATTTACATGTAATATCTCAAAGCAGAAAATAATTCACATATCCTCAGTATTAAAATGAAGAGGCCATGGTATATTCATACAGTGCAATATTCAGTAATGAAAATGGACTAATTCCAGCTATATGTGACATGAGTAATTCTCACAAACATAATGCTGAAAGAAGCCAGGTACAAACAAATGCATCCTGCATAATTCCATTTACATAAAAGTCAAAACTGCCAAAACTAAAGTACAACATTAAGACAGAATAGTTATTACCACTAGGAAAGAAATAGAAGAGGAGACCCCTGGGGGGCTGGTAATGTTCTATTTCTTGAAATGGGTGGTACTTAAGGGGACATTGACTTTACAACAGTTCACGGAATTACCGTTAGTTCTATTTACTGTGATTTACTGCATTACATGTGACAATTTTACAAATTAACAATTTATACCTTAATATGGCAGGACATATATCCTAGGTATGACTGCAAAGAAATATATGGGAGAAAGAAGGAAGCTAGCTTTCTCTAGGATTAAAAACTGAAAGTAGGTTTTGGGGCACCTAGGGGCTCAGTCAGTTAAGCTTCCAACTCTTGATATTGGTTCAGGTCATGAGGCTCCTCATGGGGTGTAGAGCCTACTTCAGATTCTCTCTCTCCCTCTTTGCCTGTTCCTCCCTCCCTGCCCCTCAATCATGCTCTCTAGCTCTTAAAAAGAAAAACAAAACAACTTAATGTAGGTTTACTTGCTAGCACTGCTGCTAGAGGGATCACTGACTGGGAAAAGAAAATAGCTCTATTATGGTTTAGTGTTGGAGTGACGGACAGTGCCAACAGTTTTGATTCCACTTCTTGCCTCTTACTATTGCCTAGGAAAGTATGATGGGCTGTGGGACAGGAGCAGAGAACTAGTAGCAACCTTTCCTGTTAAGACAAATGCAGCATCAGAGAATCATGCTCAACACATTTTCTGAAGATATACTCAATCATGTGGAATTGGGACATGAACTATGTTGCCATTTCAGAGCTGTAGTAATGACAAGTTATTAGTCTTCCATGATTTAGCTTATGACAAAAAGAGTCAAGAATCTAAGGAAATGACAACTAGGGAGCACCTGGGTGGCTCAGTTAAGCGTCTGACTTTGTCTTAGGTCACGGTCCTGGGGTCCTCGGATTGAGCCCCACATTGGGCTCTCTGTTCAGCGGGGACTCTGCTTCTCCCTCTCCTTCTGTCCCTCTCCCCAGCTCAGGCTCTCTCTCTTTAGCTCTCTCTCAAGTAAATAAATAAAATCTTAAAAAAACAAAACACAAAAACAAAAAAAAGACAACTAATGTAATGTAGTATTATAGATCAGACCCTGGACCCAGAAAAAGAGAACAGTGGTAAAATCCATGAAATTCTAATATGGTCCACAATTTAGCGAACAGAAATACAATAATGTTAATTTGTTGATTTTGATCATTGTACTATTGTGATGTGAGATGCTAATATCAGAAATTAGTGGTAAGAACACAGGAACTCTGAATTAGTTTGGCAACTTTTCTGTAAATAAAATGATTTCAAAATAAAAAGGTAAAATTATTTTTAAAAATCAGGGGGAAAATCACCCTTAACTTACTGAAGATATTAAAGGGAAGCTTAGCTATTATCTGTAAAATTCTGTTATAAACAAACAAAAATAACCAGCAACGACAATGTGATACTGCCAAGTTACTACTACTGAAAGGAGGCTTTTCATTTAAAGATAGTGTCAATGTGTTGCACAATAGCTTTCCTAAGACCAACAATAACTTTTAACTTCTTTTTTCTATTGGCAACATATGGTGTCAAACAGACTAAGCAGTCAATTAAAACAGGAGAGGAAAAACAAGCTAAGAATTGCTATTAAGAGCTATAGCTACTGAAGATAAAAACTGAGGGGTATTTCTACCTATCGTCTTCAAGAAACTATTTAGTTGACTTTTTTTTTTTAAGATTTTATTTATTTTAGGGGTGCCTGGGTGGCTCAGTGGATTAAGCCTCTGCCTTTGGCTCAGGTCATGATCCTAGTGTCCTGGGATCGAGCCCCGCATCGGGCTTCCTGCTCAATGGAGAGTCTGCTTCCCCGGTCTCTCTCTGCCTACTTGTGATCTCTGTCTGTCAAATAAATAAATAAAAATCTTAAAAAAAAATGTTTTTTTAATTTATTTTAGAAACAGAAAAGAACACAAGCTAGGGGAGGGACAGAGAGGGAGAGAGAATCTCAAGCAGACTCCATATTTACTGTGGACACCAACAAAGGGCTCGATCTCATGACCCCAAGACCATGACCTGAGCCAAAACCAAGGGTCAGATGCTCAACCAACTGAGCCACCCAGGCACCCATAAATGACTTTTTAATTAAAAAAAATAAATAAATAAAATCAGCTTATGACGGGCACCTGGGTGGCTCAGTGGGTTAAAGCCTCTGCCTTCGGCTCAGGTCATAATCCCAGGGTCCTGGGATTGAGCCCCACATCGGGCTCTCTGCTCAGCAGGGAGCCTGCTTCCCCCTCTCTCTCCTCCTGCCTCTCTGCCTACTTGTGATCTCTGTCAAATAAATAAATAAAATCTTTAAAAAAAAAAATCAGCTTATGAGATAACATACACCATATTAATAGAATCTATAGTTCACAATGCAAAATTTTATAATAGAGTTCACCCTGTAGCAATCAAAAGAAAGAGATGTTTAAGCTCTGCATCTAGATACTAAGATGTAATTAGGCATTTTCCCAACTTGCTAAATGGACTGAAGTAAGTTAAAATAAGAACGTAAGTGAACTTCAAAATTGGGACAGAAAAGTCATCTTACAAACAGACTGTCTTTTAAAAGAGCGAGAAAATCAGGCAACCATGTAAAGACTGGTAAAAAATCTCAGGGATAAACTTAACAAACGAACGAAGCTGGTGAAATATATCAAAGATAAAGTACAATTGTTACCAACCACTTCATTTTGTTGTTTTAAACAACGCTCTCTGTCTTCAGCATATTTTTTCATCTCTTTGTTTCGAAGATTCTCAGCTTCTTTTGCCTGAGTGATAAGCATCATTTTTTCTTCTAGCCATTTCTTTCTATCGGCTTTATATTTATGTTCACATTCCTATGTATATAAAAATAATACAAGTAACTATCACAGGCTTAAATAATACTTAAGCAACAGTCAACAAATTTATTTTTAAAACATATCATATAACCTATCACTTTTTTACATTTTTGAAAATTAAAAATAAGTGTTTTTCCTTAAACAATTGTAAGATCAGAGTTCATTTCGGATTATAAAATGAACACTGCTTGTTTCCTTTTCTAAATGGACTTTCTTTTATAAACCATTTAAGGACTCTCCTTCATCAGTGACCTTAAGAACAAATAAACAACTTCTATTTCTGAAACAGTTATAAAGACCCAAGCCTTCTTAATGCCAGAAAAGAAAAAGCCTTGGTTTATGATGGTCATTTCTAATTGTATGGTTTTAAAAATAAAATATTTCTGGGTAGACGGGATGCCAAGTAAAAAATAACTTGTAAAACAGGACATTCATGAATCTGAGGAACACTGGGAATGGCTAGACTGAGGATATAGCTGATCAGTAATTTCCATTCCAGAATTACAAAGTTTATAATCTATGTGATTAATCATTTGAGAAGAACATAAAATAAACCAATACTCCTTAATATGAACATTCCCAATATAGCTAATATTTTTTCATAAATAATGGAGTATTTACTTTGTTCTGCTTTGGGATTTTCCCAATAGAAAGGGTAAATTCTAGAATATATAATTAATAGTTAACAAAAGAAAGTATTTTTTTATTTGTTCAGTATCTGATTACATATAGCATGAATTTAAGAAAATAATTTAGATGCAGCCAACTTTTAAAAATCACTATTATGCTTTCTTCAATTTCAAAACTAGTTCCTTTTAATAAAACATATAAAATTTTAAGTGGTATTTGGTAAACCCCATTAAAAAATATTTTCTCCATATGTTGTATTCTATACAGTATTTAGAATTGAACATGGAAAAAAATATAAATGCAAAACAGAATATCCTTTATATAATACAGTTTCAAGTATATTCCAGTGTCCAGATACACAACTGTATTCTTTTCCAAATTTATAACTGAAAATTAAAATGATTATATACAAAATACTCTTCCTAACAGTCCTCTTTTCCATAGCAAAATTTGAGAACTAAGAAGTTTAAGGAGTAGAAAAATAGGTACAAACATATAAGAGATAGTGATTCAAGAATTAAATATATAGAATATAAAAGAGAAGACCCAACCACTATATTTTCATTGGCACTAATAGTGGTTTGTATCTTGGGAATTTCCGCCCCAATGTCATCTCAATGTATACTGAAAAATTATACCTGTATGTTAACATTTCCCACGTAATGTTTCCCCCATATTTAAATTAATTTTAAAGTATTTGCTGAATTCTCCTCTCATAAGAAATACCATGGCTAGATACATACATACATCAAATCATACCTGTAACTCATCCTGAAGCTTACTGAGCTTTTCACCAAGTGTATCTGTGTTATCCTCGAGTTCTCTGTTTGATCTTTGATTACTTTTGGCTTCCAGATCGCTGCACTTTTCCTTCCATTTTTCCAATTCTAATTTGAAAACATAAAATTATTTTTTAAAGCACATGCAAAAGTTATACCATATAGAAATACATACGGCATAAGATACAGACAAGAATCAGTAGAGCCCAGAAGAAAAACATAAACACAGATAGAACTGAGACAATTCCAAGGGCTGCACTTTGAAGAGTTCTTATAAAATGCCCAGAGAAGAGTAAGTATGAGGACTTCTTAGGAGCTCACCGAACAGTGTTCAGAGTATATAGTATAAACACATCTCAATCTTCATTATACAGGAAATCTCACATAGTTCTCAAAAAATCAAAGAAACTGTGATGGTATTCTGAAGGATGGAATCAGAGTATTTACCAAGATAAACATACAAGATGATACTAAGAAGCAGGACAGAGCTGAAACTTAGTTGAAAATTTGTTTTTAATGTCTGGGAAACATTGTAAGTTACCATCTGGTTATTATGAAAGTATCCTTATTCCTTCTTTACTATGCATGATTTTACTTAGATAAAACAATTTTTATCACACTGGAAAACAGCAAGTGATAGGACACTCCAAAAACAAACCAATACTTTTTCACTATGAATTATTATAAATACTTAGGCCACCTGGGTAGCTCAGTCATTAAGCATCTGCCTTCAGCTCAGGTCATGATCCCAGAGTCCTGCGATGGAGCCCCACATCAGGCTCCCTGGTGGGTGGGGAGCCTGCTTCTTCCTCTCCAAACTCCCCCCCCCCCCGGCTTGTGTTCCCTCTCTCACTGTGTCTCTGTCAAGTCAATAAATAAAATCTTAAAAGAAAAATACTAAAAAAATTTTTAAAAAGGAAAGAAATCTAGGGAAATACAGAAAATGGCAAGTAGGTCTGGAGATATTTGAGCAGTCTTGTTTTACCCATGGCCAGTCTTTCAGCTTCCTCTAACTTAGCCTCGAGCACTCGCTCCTGTTCCACCTGAGTTTGTTCCTGTTCTTCCAGGGTCATTCGCATGTCTTCAATTATTTTTTCTTTAACATTTAGATCTAAAAATTCAGGGAGAACATTTTAGAAACTACTAACATCTATATCTAGATACCCGACTTTTCCTGAGTTCTTCTAAAATTAAAATACATTTTTATTAACCATAATAGAATCTGCATCCCATGCAAACAGAAGCTTTGTCTTGTTCACTGTGGCATCTCAAAGGCTAAAACAGTACTGGCAGATAGGAAGCACCAAATAAGTATCCGTCGTACAAATAGGTACCTGAATGATTGCAAGGATGGATGGATGGAGAAAAACAATCTCTTTGGATAACATTAACACTTTTTTTATATTAAACTTGTAATATTAATAAACACAAATCTTGGGATTTAGAAAAAATGTTATTTGGCAAAACATTTTTCAGTGTTAATACTCTCAAACCAAAAGCAAAATGTTTACCTCCGAAAAACAAAAAGGGCTCAATCTCAATTTGACTTTTTTTTTTTAATCTCAAGTAGTTATGTGTTCTACAAAAATTTCCAAAGCCAAAAATCTACTTCTAGTATTTTTAAAACCAGCTCGTCAGGAATGACTGTGCTACTAGCCTTACCAAAATTGTCTCTGGCCCTTAAAAAAATGACTACCATAATGACTTATAAGCAATTCCATTTTAATGCTGTCCGCTAGAAAGAGGCAAAAAGGAAAGATTATTTTATTGCCTCTGGTGATGGCCAGGTTTGTAGCAGAGCACATTTCAGACACCTAACCAAAACTATTACTGGTGTCAGTGGTAATAAATCTATAAATGCATGTAATTCAACCTCAGGTCACTAAATATTAAAAATAAGAAAAATCCCAAAAACTGCCTTCCTCAAGGTGCACATAAATAACAAACTTAAGAAAATAATAAAGACAAATTGAATAAAGGAATAAGAAAAAATTATATGAGTAATTTTCATTATTTCTGTCCATTTATATAACCTGCCAGGAATGCTAATAAAACCAAGACTCCCTTAATCCTAGGATTAAAGGAGTCTTGGTTTTATTATCTAAACTTTGTTTCAAAAAGCATGATTACAAATATATTCAGATTATATAATTAATAGAAGTTTATTCAAAGAATCCCGTCCCTCTTCCAACCCATTTTTTTCTCTCAACTAGAAGGTTAGAAAGAAAAAGTTTAAATATCCAGTTATCAATTAGGAAAGTTCCACAACACCAATGTTAATATCACTAATGACTATCCACCTATTATTTGAAAGGTAGGTATAGTTAAAAACAAAACAAAAACAAAACAAAACAAAAACAAAACAAAACAAAAAGCGAAAGAGAACTATTTTTCACTCACTGCATCCAATAATTTATATTTCATTTCAGGAAATAATCAGAAATAATTCAACGAATAAAACAGAAAATAAAGCAGGATGCCTGGCTGGCCAGTCAGTGGAGTGTGTGACTCTTGATCTCAGGGATGTGAGTTAGAGTCCCATACTAACTGTAAAGATTAATTAAAAATAAAATCTTTAGGGGACACCTGGGTGGCTCAGTCAGTTAGGCGGCTGCCTTCAGCTCAGGTCATGATCCCAGGGACCTGGAATCAAGTCCTGCACTGGGCTCCTTGCACAGAAGGGAGCCTGCTTCTCCCTTTGCCTGCCACTCCCCCTGTTTGTTCTCTCTCTCTCTCTCTCTGATAGATAAATAAATAAATAAATATCTTTTTAAAAAGATGGGGGTGCCGCCTGGGTGGTCCCATGGGTTAAGGCCTCTGCCTTCGGCTCGGGTCATGGTTCCAGAGTCCTGGGATCGAGTCCTGTGTTGGGCTCTCTGCTCCATGGGGAGCCTGCTTCCTCTTCTCTTTCTGCCTGCCTTCCTCTCTGCCTACTTGTGATCTCTGTCTGTCAAATAAATAAACAAAATCTAGGAAAAAAAAAAAAAAAGAGTGGGGTCTGACTCTTGATTTTGGCTCAGGTCATGATCTCAGGGTTATGGATTTGAGCCCTACTCGGGCTCCATGCTTAGCATAGAGTCTGCTTGTCCCTCTCGCTCTGATCCCCCCATAAGCCCTCCTTCATGCCTGCTCGCAATATCTTTCTCCAAAAATAAATAAATAAAATCTTCTGAAAAACAAAAATAATAAAAATAAAATAAAATCTTTAAAAAAAAAACAAAATAAAGCAACATAAAGATAGCTGAGACAAATCTCTTCACTACTATCTGAAGATAGCAAAATAAAATAAAATATAGCTATGAGCTACTACAGCTAAATAAATGTCAAATGAACCAGCAATCAAGCGCTTAACATTCAGGGGAGGATCACTGAGAGCTATCATGTCCTAGTAAGATTTCAAGGAGGAACGTCTCCAACATGTAACATTTGAGAACAGGAAGTGGAAAAAAGGGACATCTCATAAGCTAGGGACATAAATAAATATAAATGCCATGTAAAACACAGATGAGAAATACTCACTTAGTGATGAGATTTATTTCAGAATATCACCGTACCAATTGTATATGAAACAATGACAGAAGCCTGAAACCATGTAATACCATTTTCACATATCACAATGGCAACAAATTTGAAGTTTGGTAACACCAAATACTGACAAATACGGGGCAGAATGGGCATTTTATACTCTATTTTAATGTGATATAAACTAGTACAACAATTTTAGGGAAAAATTTAGCAATATTTATCAAAATTTTAAATATACATCATTTGGTCCAACAATTACACTGCTAGGAATTTCCCTACAAATATATTTACATGTGTGCACAAAGACTTTCATACAAATTCATTCATGGTAATGTCTATAATAACAAAAAATGTGTCTAAAAACTACCAAAAGTATTTTTTTCATCAAAAGGGTCATATTTAGATGATTGGATAAAGATGTGGTATAGGTATACAATGGAATACTACTCAGCCACAAAAAGAAAAAAAGAAATCTTGCCATTTGCAATGATGTGGATGAAACTAGAGGGTATTATGTATGCTAAGCGAAGTCAATCAGAGAAAGAAAATTATATGATCTCACTCATGTGGAATTTAAGAAACAAAACAGAGTACCATAGGGGAAGAGAGGAAAAAATAAAACAAGACAAAATCAGAGAGGGAGAAAAATCATAAGAAACTCTTAATCATAGGAAACAAACTGAGGGTTGCTGGAAGGGAGTAGAGTGAGGGAATGGGATAACTGGGAGGTGGACATTAGGGTGGGCACGTGACGTAATGAGCATTGGGTATTATGTAAGACTAATGAATCACTGACCCCTACCTTTGAAACCAATAATACATTATATGTTAACTAACTGAATTTAAATTAAGATAATGATTTAAAAAATAAATTTAAAGTAATTACTGATTAAAAAAAAGAAGAAAAAAGAGGTCATATTACTGGAGAATAGATGATAAAATGTGTTGTTAATTTTTCTTATATATAATAATATATTTTATTATGTAAAGTAAGTATTTACCTTACAAATTTCATCATACAGTATTTAAGTATAAAGTTTCAACAATGTCTGCAAGTATCTTTTAAGTCACTCAGTTCTATACATACATATTAGAGAAAGAGAGACAAAGAGATGCAAATATGACAAAATACTTAAAAACAGTGAAACTAATAGTATTCAGGTGATTTTTATATTGATTTTCTGACTTATTCACAAATGTTCACTTCTTAATTAGAATTTGAGAAAAATAGGTAAATTGTAACCATCATTCTAACTTTATAAGCAATTGAAATTGTACATTAAATTAGCATTTAGTTTTCTCTCTACTGGACTTTGAAACTATGTTTCATTTAGGATCAATACCATGTCTTTAGCCAAATGAAGGGCTGCATTTCCTGCAACAGTGTATATTGGAATCAGTCTTATTTCTTCTATCCTAATCAATTTTGTTGCATTACTTAAGGCTTTCTCTTAAGGGAACAAAATTTTCCCATTTATAAAAAAGATATTAAATAAATGATGATAGATCAATAACAATAAAATGGAATACTATTTAGCCTTTAAAAAGAAAAGCTAAAAAGAGCATGGGGAGATAAAGTTTATCTGTGTGTGAATATATGGAGAAATTATCTCAAATTTTTCCAAATATGTAGAAATTGTTGTTTTAGTGATTTCTCCTAGGGTCTTTTTCTTGGTCTCTTATTTGCCTTCTTTATCACAGTAATAGAGGCAAAATAGAGCAAGTCACAACTAGGGAACAAAACAAATTAGTCTGGATAGAACAGAAAAGTTACATTAGGCTAGGAAATGATAACCTAAACTCCCAAGCTAGATGGTGAAAGTTTATTAAGTAGGGTGTATGAAAGGACTGAAAACTTTTAATAGGAAAATGACACAATAAAAGAAGAGTTTCAGAAAAATTTGATCTAGCTGTGTTGTTATATAAGAGAGTAAATTTGCCATAAAGCCTGGCAATGAGATAGGACAAGTATGGGGAGCCACTAGTAAACAGAAATAATAGAATTTAGGTACTACAATAGAGGGTAAGGGGAAATAATATTATTTAAAGTCTAAAACCAAGAGTAGGCACTATTTTCTGCAAAGGGTCAGACAGTAATTACTTTAAGTCCTATCACAACTATTTACCTCTGCCACTGTAATGTGAAAGCTGGCAGACAGTACAAAAGAGAATGTATTAGTATGTTCCAATAAAACTTTGCTTACAAAATTAGGCAGTAAGCTGGATTTTTGGTGAAAGGGTGCCATTTGCTAACTCCTGATGTAAACAACAGAAGTAGTAGACATCAGTAGTAGAATGAGAGATCCAGAAAGTTAAGGCAGTTTGAGCAGAAAGAAACATTCAAGTTCAAAATTTAATAAGACTTCAAAACCACTCATCATAAGAAAAGAAAATTGTAGACTAACAACATCCTATATGAAAACAGCTGCAAAGCCTCAACAGAATACTAGCAAACTAAACCCAGCAACTTAAAAAAACCATCACACACCATGACCAAGTGGGATTTATCCTAGGAATTCAAGTTTAATTCAACATATGAAAATCAATCAATGCAATACATCTTATTAATGAAGAACAATACCACACAATTATCCCAATGGATGCAAAAAGACATCTGACAAAACTCAACATGTTTTAATGATAAAACCATTCAACAAACTAGGAACAGAAAGGAATGAACTTCCTCAACCTAATAAAAGCATCTACAAAAACCCCACACCTAACATTATGCATAATGGTGAAAAAATGAAAACTTTCCCCCTAAGATCAGGAATAAGACAAAAACATCCATTCTCACCACTTCTATTCAACACAGTTCTGGAGGTTTTAGCCAGAGCATTTAGATAAAAACAAGAAATAAAAGGCAAACAGAATGGAAAGGAAGAAGTAAAACCATCTTTATTTGCAGATGACATGATACTTTATATAAGAAAAAGAAAACCTTATTAGAGTTCATAAAATCAGCTAAGTTTACAAGACACAAGATAAATATAATTAAATCTACTGTATTTCTATATACTAGCACTTAACAATCCAAAAAATGGTATTAAGGAAACAATTCCATTTTTAACAGCGTTACAAAGAATTAAATACTTAGAAATTAATTAACAAAAGATGTGCAAAATTTATACACTTAAGAAGTAAAAAATACCACTGAAAGAAACTTAAAAAGGCTTAGCTAAATGAAAAGATATTCCATGCTTAATATTGTTTGTTGGCAATTTCCCCAAATAAATCCTCAGATTTAACCCAATCTCCATTAAAATTCCAGCTGGCTTTTTTGCAGAAAATGACGAGCTGGTCCTAAAATTCAGGTGGAAATGCAATGAATCCAAAATAGCCAAAACAATCTTGCAAAAGAAGAACAAAAATGGGAAAATCCACACTTCCCAATTTCAGAACTTACTATAAAACTACAGAAACAATATAGTGTGGTACTGGCATTAAAAGTCCAGAAATAAACCTTTACATTTATGGTCAACTGATTTTCAACAAAAGTGCAAAGACAATGAATGCAGTAAGAGAAAGAACTGTCTCTTCAAAAAATGGTACTGGAGCAACTGATTCTCAATATGTAAAATAATTAAGTTAGACACCTACCTCACACAATATACAAAATTACACTCAAGTGGATTAACTCCATATGAATCAAAGATCTAGATAAAAGAGCTAAAATTTAAAAACTCTTAGAAGAAAACCTATATGACTTTGGATTAAGCAATAGTTTCTTAGGCATGACACCTAAAATACAATCGATCAAAACAGATAAATTGGACTTCATGAAAATTAAAAACTTTTATGCATCAAAGGACAAAATCAAGGAAGTGAAAAACACCCCACAGAATGGGAGAAAACATTAACAAATCTATCTGATAAGTCATGTATCCAGAATACATAAAGAACTCTTACAACTCCATAATAAAGAGAGATAACCCAACTGAAACATGAGCAAAGGACTTCAATTTCTCCAAAAATATATAAATGGCCTACAGCACAAGACAAGATGCTTAATATCATTAGTCATAAGGGAAATGCAAATCAAAACCACAATGACATACTACTTTACATGTATGTCTACCATAACTACCAGTATATCAGGTTAAATAGTGTCCTCCCAAATTTCATGTCCATCCACTATGAATATGACCTTATTCAGAAACAGGGTACTTGCAGATATAATCAAGTTAAGAATAAGGTCACCTAGATTAGAGTGGGTCCTAAATCCAATATGACTGGTCTCCTTATAAGAAGAGGGTAATTTGGACAGAGACCCATAGGTAGAAGAAACCAACACATACACACCCAAAAGAAATTAACACAGACAGACTGGAGTTACGCTGCCATAAGCCAAGCAATACAAAAAGGATTGCCGTCAACCTTTAGAAATTAAGAGAGACAAGGAAAGATTCTTGGGCAGAATCTTCAAAAGAAGCACAGCCCGCCCTATCAATGTTTTTATTTTGGATTTTTAGCTTTCAGGACTGTATGAGAATAGACTTCCGTTGTCATAAGCACCGAGTTTGTGGTGCCTAGCAGCCCTAGGAAACTAATATAGATAGCTATAATTCTTTTGATGAAAAATAACAAGAGTTGGCAACATGTGGAGACAGTAGAGCCTTCATCTACTGCTCATAAGAATGTAAAATGGTATAGCTACTGTCGGAAAACGTTAACTGTTCCTCAAATAGTTAAACATAGAACTATCAGAGGACCCAGCAGTTCTACACCTGATCCCCAAGAGAAATGAAAACAGATGTTCACCCAAAACTTTGTATACAAATAGTCAGAAAAGCCAAAAAGTAGAAACAATCCAAATATCTATCGACTAATACATAAAAAAGTAGTATTCATTACAATGGAATATTATTCAGCCATAAAAAGGAATTTAGTACTGATACATGCTACAATACAGATGAAACTTGAAAACATAATGCTAAGTTAAAGAAATAAGACACGAAAGGCCGTATGTTGTATGCACCCACTTAGATGAAATGTCTGCAATAGGCAAACCCAGAGACAGAAAGCAGATTAGTGGTTGACAGGGACTGAGGAGTGATAGCTGATGGGTACAAGGTTTCTTTTTGGGGTAATGAAAATGTTCCGGAATTAGATAGAGGTAGTGACTGCACAATCTTGTGAATATACTAAAATGCACAAAACTGTACACTTTTAAAAGGTAATTATTATGTATTATATCTCAATTTTTTTAAAAAAGAATTTTATACTAAGATATCTAAGTATATGGCATTCAGTGTTTAAACGGAAATAAAGAAGCTGAACTGAAAATGCACTTTTTTGTTTGTTGGGGAACATCTCACACACAAGTGAAATCAAAGGAGTAAATGGACTCTCCAGTGAGAAAACAAAGAGAAAAAAGAAGATGACTCCTTAATCAGGAAAGCTGCCAAAGTAGCTGTGGTTCATTCTGAGAGACAGGCAGTAACTGGTACAGAACAGATCACAACAGCTAAAACAAGTTTCAAAGGGGGGGAAGCTACATATTACCATTTCATTTAGAAAAAAATATACACTCACACACAGTAAATACTACATAAAAAATGAAAATGAGGAAAAGAAGGAGGGTGGAAAATTATGTCAGAATAATGTAAAAAATAAAGGAAAGAAAGGATTGCTAAAAGCTAATAGATGAAAACATGTAGGTTATACGTGACTAGGGAGCAAGTTTCAAGAGTGTGGAGAAGATGAAAGCCAGATTAAAGTAGTCAAAATGGGCCTGTACCACAGTTCTTAGTATTTGGCAAAGAGAGGAAAAATTATGTTAGAAAAAATATGTTAGAAATTCTATCCTGGTCCATGGACATGCTTTTTCAGAATAGCTAAGATCTGTTCACATTTGCCAACAATGACAAAGAAGCCAAAGTGAAAAAAAAAAAAACCCTAAAAGGATTATGGAAATAGGAAATGTTAAGGGATAAAAGCCTAAAGGAAAGGCAAGAGAGGGGCACCTGAGTGACTGAGTCAGTTAAGTGTATGCCCCAGGCTCAGGTCATGATCCAGGGTCCTGGGATCAAGCCCCACATCAGGCTCCCTGCTCAGTGGGGAGACTGCTTCTCTGTCTGCCCTCTATCCCTCCCTGCTGCTTGTGGTCTCTCTCTCAAATAAACAAATAAATCTTTAAAAAAAAAAAAGGGCAAGAGAAAATAGGACAGTGTGTAGCTACACACACACACATACACACACACACACACACACACACACACACACACACACACACACACTGAAATAACTGATCCAAGTAAATCCCACAGATGTCCAAATCACTTAAACAAGTAATAATCTGGTCACCCTACACCATTTTTTTTCTAGTGGGCCAAGTATAAATAGCACAAATTAGTGAAAAGAATCTGAAATTTAAGAGTGAAACAGATGTAGATTCAAATCCCAGCTCTACTACTCACACAACCAAGAGGTTAATGTGTGAGTGAGGGGTAGAAGAATGTGCATATTATGAACAGAAAGACATATGTATCATCTACAAAGGTAATTTCCTATTTCAAATTAAAAAATCAAAATCTGAGTAATAAAAGCATAATTCAGCACCTAAGTTTGAAGCTAAAGTATTAAATGGTTTATAAAACTTTTTAAAAATACTTTCATTTTAAAGATGTTTTACTTGACATATATTCCTACATGATTTTGTCTAAAAATCTATTCCATTCATTGTGACCAATGTAACTAATGACTTCGTTTTTCACAAAATACTGGCCATTACTTAGAAATCAATATTCCTTTAACTGAATATTTCTGTTTTTTTATTAACATATAATGTACTATTTGCCCCAGGCGTACAGGTCTGTGAATTATCAGGCTTACACATTTCACAGCACTCACCATAGCACATACCCTGCCCAGTGTCCATAACCCAGCCACCTATCCCTACCCCCGCCCCAGCAACCCTCAGTTTGTTTCATGAGATTAAGAGTCTCCCTCCCGATCCCATCTTGTTTCATTTTTACCCTCTCTACCCCCCAACAAGCCCCCGCCTTGACTCTCAAATTCCTCATATCAGAGAGATCATATGATAATCGTCTTTCTCTGATTGACTTATTTCACTTAGCATAATACCGTCTAATTCCATCCACATCATTGCAAATGGCAAGATTTCATTTCTTTTGAAGGCTGCATGGTATTCCACTGTATGTTTCTTAATGTTTTATTTTTCTAAGAATAAACTTTTTGGGTGGCCTGGGTGGCTGAGTCATTAAGTGTCTGCCTTTGGCTCAGGTCATGATCCCAGGGTCCTGGGATTGAGCCCCACTGAACAGGACTCCCTGCTCAGCGGGAAGCCTGCTTTTCCCTTTCCCACTCCCCCTGCTTGTGTTCCCACTCTCGCTCTCCCTCTGTCAAGTAAACAAATAAAATCTTCAAAAAAAAAAAAGAATAAACTTTATGTTTACAAGTCACTCGCTAAAATCAATGCTCTTCTCTTTTGATAAAGTTACATCTTTTGTTGACCTTACTTTATAATTTTCAAAGGAAAATGCTAACTCAATTGTTATGGTGACTACCTATTCTGCGGTTATTTTAGTACTGGAAGTAGAGGTTTGTTCCTCACCTTTGCACACTCTCTCATACTGTTGCATAGCTTCTTCCACATTTTGATTACTTAACTGCTCCTGCAAGATGAAAAAGCATGAATTCAATGCAAATGTAACTAAAATGCACAGTGGTATTTAACAGTGGGACCTGAAAACAGGATTCAATGTTGGGTTTGAAATCTCTCTCCCACAAGGCTGACTACTAGTCTCATGCTTCCAAGTTTCTTTTGCCCTGGAGAAAAGGGCTGGGTGAAAAAACTTGACACCTTTAATCCACCACAAAGTTTACTACCCAGTCATTTTATTTACTCAATTTTTTTTTTAAATATTGTATTTATTTATTTGACAGAGAGACACAGCGAGAGAGGGAACACAAGCAGGGGGAGTGAGAGAGGGAGAAGCAGGCTCCCCACCAAGCCGGGAGCCTGATGCGGGGCTCGATCCCAGAACCCTGGGATCATGACCTGAGCCGAAGGCAGACGCTTAACGACTGAGCCACCCAGGTGCCCCTATTTACTCAATTTTTTTAAGCTACCATGTTCTCCTACACACCAGAAAAAGGAGAAATGAAGAAATGGAGGTTTACTATGCACTTAACATAGGAGGAACAAGGAAAGCCATAAAAAAAAAGTCTCTTATCAACAAACTTAAGGGGCAGAAAAATAGGGTCCTCCACCCCCTCTATGTAGGAAGTAGCTGGGGAGTTTGAAAAAAGTAACAGGAGCCACAAGAGGCAAGAGTAAATTATGGGCCCTGGAAATCCTCCAATTCTAGTTTTAACTTATTAGTAATCCAACTTTCACTCCCTATCTCATTTACATCAACACTATCTCCTTACATTTCAAGTCTTGGAATGAATCATTATAGAACCTGGAAATTTCAGAAACCTATTATGAAAGTACAGACTGTTTTATTAGGATTAGATTCAGTTAAAAATTAAAATCATGTATTTACACTTAAATAGTCACTAGTTTGCTTCATTCAAAAGCCAACATGCAAAGAATACAATAAATCCATTTTATAATTGTTGCCAAATCCATTTAACTGATGTCAAGCAAAATTTAACCACTTATAAAGGGATTTTGCTTTTTAAGTGTCCTTTTGAAAAAAGGACACTTTTTGTAAGACATGAGCTTCATTTTCTTTTTGCTTTTTATTTTGAAACGGTTTTAGACTTACAGAAGAGTCACAAAGATAGCAAACATATCCTGTATAAGCTCTACTTAGCTTCCCCTAATGTTAATTCTTGTATTACCACAGTACATTTATTTAAAAATCGAGAAACACTGGACCAAAATATGAGCAGTTGAGTCTCTATGCTCTATTATTTAAAATATGGAAACAATCATCTTTGTATGAAAAAAAGAAATTAGCACTGCTATAAATAATTTTAACAACACTATAGACTGTATTGGATTTCACCAGTTTCTCCAATGATATCGTTTTTTGCTTCTAGGATCTCATATAGGATATAAAACTGAATTTAGTAATCGTGTCCCCTTAATCTCCTCCAATTTGTAAGAAGTCCTTGGTAGTCCCTTTCTTTAATGGCCCTGACACTTTTTACTGGTCGGGTATTGTGTACAAACATCCTCAGTTTGGATTTGTTTGATGTTGTCTCATGATTAGACTGAGGTTATGGATTTGGGGGAAAAAAATACCACATAAGAGATGTGCCTTTCTGGTCACACACGTCAAATCAGGAAGCACATGGTATCAGTATGATTTACTACTGGTGATGTCATTCTTGAACACCTGGTTAAGGAGGTGTCTGCCAGGTTTCTCTACAGTGAAGTTACAAATTTTTCCTTTCCATACTCTATTCATTAGAAGCAAATCACTATGGCCTTATTTAAGTAATTAATTTTTAGATTCCAGAACTAGTCAAGAGAGAATCTGTTATAAAGAACTGATACACTGAGGTGCCTGCCTGGCTCAGTAGCTTAAGTGTCTGACTCTCGATTTTGGCTCACATCATGATCTCAGGATCAAGAGATCAGGGCCAGCATCGGGCTCCATGCTCAGTGGGGAGACTGCTTGAGATTCTCTTTCTTTCTCTCCCTCTGTACCCTTCCCCCACTTGCACTCACTCTCTCAAATAAATAAATAAATAAACTCTTTAAAAGAAAAAAAGAACACATACATTTAAGTAGAAACTAAGACATACCAAGAGAATCTACTTAAACTATTTTTAAAAACAAGACTGTTACCTTGAGTTGCTGAATAGTTCGCTGTTTCATATCTATTTCCTGCAAACACTGGTTTTTCTTTTTCTCCAGTTCATTAATTTTAATCCGTAGTAATTTCTCCTCATCACGCATTACAGATACCTAAAAAGTAATGTTTATAAAACAAATTAAATATTTTTTTAAATGCTAAGTTTTTGTTGTTGTTTAAAATTCATGGCCAGTGGTTCAAAGATTTGTATCTTTTAAAATCCATTAGAGGGGTGCCCAGGTGGCTCAGTCAGTTAAACATCTGCCTTGGCTCAAGTCATGATCCCAGAGTCCTAGGACTAAGCCCCACTTTGGGGCTTCTCCTTCCTCCCCCGCTCATATTCTTGCACTATCTCTCTTCCTGTGTCTCTCAGATAAATAAATAAAATCTTAAAAAAAAAAAAAAACTTTAGAAAAATTATAGATTCTAACATACTATATGATATGGCTTCAAATTATCAGGAAATTTCTTAATACACTAAAGGAGAATGCATATGAAAAGATCATTTTCTTCTCACAATATTTTAAGAATCTCAAACTCTGTAAGTGCTCTCAAAAAAGAATCAACACAGCACTTTGCAACAGCAAAACCATTATCACAAAGAAATCAATAAAGATACTCTAAGAGGAAAATACTGGCTCAGTTTTCCAACGGCTATTGAGTAATGTGATCCAGTAAAACAAGAAATACTTTAAAAGCTAATAATGGCCCACAGAGGATGAAAATGGAACAGTTACAAGAACAAAAGTTATTCATGTATGTGAAGGTCAATTGATCTTTTATGTTACTGGTAACCTAGTTCTACAAACTTGTTAGAGAAATCAAAAGCAATATGAACAAGTATGTAAATCTTCACCAAAAAAAAAAAAAAAAAAAAAAAAAGATAATCTACAAACATCTTTACACCAATTTCATTTCCATCACATCAATTCTAGAGATTTCATAAAATGAAGAAAATTAATTGAAAAAAGAATGTCACACAAGGTGGAAGTGGTTATTACAACCATACATAAATGAACCTCAGGAATATGTGAAAAATAAAGAGTCTCAGAAAAATATAATATACTGCTTAGAAATAAAAAATAGGTATGACTTAAATTATATTTTTAGAAGATAAAAGATAAACACAAAACATTCAATGTAATAACTTCTATGGAGGTAGGAAACCTATAGGGATGGGACCCATAAGCATTTGCTGTATCAATTTCTTCAGACCTTACACATTAAATATTCTTTTTGACTAACTCAAAGTAATATAATTCTTTAAAATTCTCTCAGCTTTTTAAAAAAAGAAATAAATAAAAATAATAAAACTGTTTCAGCTTTTAGAAAAAGTCTAACTACAAGACAAAATCAAGGAGTCACAGTAGAAAAATTAATAAATTTAAATTCATGAAAATAAAAAATTTGATCTAAACAAAAAGAACCTTACCAAGGAAAACAGCAATAAGGGCAGGGGTCTACAATTCATACTCTTAAAAAGACTAATTTCCTGAATATGTTATAGGCTCCTATAAAGCAAAACTAATTTAAAAACAGAATAAAAATCAATAACCCAAATTTAAAAAGCCCAAGATATGAATACACAGCTCACAGAAACACACACACACACACACACAAATGGCTTTTAAACAAAACGATGCTCACTCATAATTAGAAAAATGCAAACTGGGATTACAGTGAGTTTTTTAGAACTAAAGTTTTCAAAATTAGAAACAGAATTATACTTTTTTTTAAGATTTTATTTATTTGACAGAGAGGGAGAGCACAAGCAGGGGGAGCTGTAGTCAAAAGGAAAAGGAGAAGCAGGCCTCCCACAGAGCAGGAAGCCGACACAGGCTCATACCCAGGACCCCATAATCACAACCCGAGCCAAAGGCTGATGCTTAACTGACTGAGCCACCCAGGCATCCCCAGATATATACTCTTTATCTGTCAAATATCAAAAAGTATGATAAAATACTACTTTGTGGATAAGGGTGAAAGAAATACTCGTATTCTCATACATTACTTCTGGCTTATAAATTGGCATAATGAGCATAATAAATACCAAATTACAATGTACCAACAAGTGACCCATAAATTCTAATTAAGAATGACTTGTAAATGTTCAAATGATTTTGCCTCATAAGCTCAATCAGAAGATGATGAAATCATCTGAACTGTCCAACAATCCAGGACCAATTAACATTTCTGTCATAATTTTGTAATCATTTTGTAGTCATAAAATTTCGTAGTCATAAAATAATTATAATACCCTGATACAACAGCCAAGATGCACTACTAAGTGAAAAAACTAAGATTTACAACAGTGTTTACAGGATGCTTTCACTTTTTTTAAAGAAAGAGAAAAAAAAGGATAGAAAGAGGAAGAAGCAAAGAAAAAGAAAATAACTGGTGTCATTTGATGCCTTGAAGAGAAACTTGATCACTGGGACAGCTGGGAGGGAATTTTCTCATTGAATGCACATTTGTATATTTTGTATTTGGAATCAGTGATTGTATTTCCTATTTTCAAACTAAACTATGATAAAAACTTGTAACAACTATACTGCATACTCTCGTGAATATTATCTGCAAACAGAAGTTTGCTTTTTACTTTTTGGGGGGAATTGAACTGGGCAGTTCTTAATAGAAAAAAAGATTCTAGTACTACATGAGGCACATTTTTTTCTTTTTTTTTTTTTTTTTAAAGATTTTATTTATCCATTTGACAGAGAGCTCACAAGCAGGCAGAGAGGCGGGCAGAGAGAGAGGAGGAAGCAGGCTCCCTGCTGAGCAGAGAGCCCGACGCGGGGCTCGATCCCAGGACTCTGAGATCATGACCTGAGCCAAAGGCAGCGGCCTAACCCACTGAGCCACCCAGGCGCCCCCAATTTTTTCTTTTTTGAAATTTATTAAGTTTTTTATTTTAATTACAGCAAAGCTAACAGAGTGTTATATTAGTTTCAGTGGTTCAACAATCCTATACATTACTCAGTGCTCATCATTAACGTAGTGTGCTCTTAATCCCCACCATCTCTTTTACCCTTCCCCCAAGATCTCCCCCTCATATTTCTTCCTAATGTTGGACATTCTTCACTTTAAGCTTTCTTTTGTGAAATAAGTGTTCTCCTCATTTGAAAAAAAAAATTGAGTTGATAAATGTTTTATTCTAAAATTAGTGTCTAAAAAATGTGCTCTATAATGAAAACAATCTTTGTTATTTAAATTGGCCACACAACTTTTCAAATAACCTACCTCTTTCTGAACTTGCTCAATCTGTTTTTTGGCATCAGCGAGTTTCTCTTTCAGCTCAGCATAATCTTCTTCCTTCCTCTGAAGATCTGCTTTCAGAGTCTGTGTAAGGGCAGAGCTTGCAGATAGCTCCTCTTTCAACCTAAAGAACACAAATCATTTTTCTATAGTGACACACCACAAACCACACAGGATCATACATGTGAGCTAGTAACAACCTATACAATTCTAAATTTTCAGAAACCCAGACTGTCCAATCAATGACTGAGTCCTTCATAGAAGATTTCATGTGATTTTATGAACAGATTTTTGCATATAACTTTTGGTTCCAAAGACTTAGTTGAACTAAGTTCAAGTTCTTTACTCTTCAAACACACTATGCTAGATTAAGTTATACCCAACTAAATAATTTAAAAGATAGAGGAAAACTGATAAAATAAACCCTTTGTACATTTTTAAATATTTTATTATCTTACTTTTCTGCTTTTTGCCAGTTGGTTTCCTTTTCTTCTTCCTTTAACTGAAGTGAATGCTTTGCATCTTGCAAATTACTTGTTAATTGTGAGATTTCTTCTTTCAACTTGACTTCCCTTTCACTTAAATCTCTGTTGTTTTTGATAGAATCCTGAAGATTTGCTTGAAATTCCTTCAGATTTCTTTCTAGCTCTAAGATGACAGATTCCTTTTCCAAAATTTCTTGTTTTAACTTGGCTGAATGATTGCATTCATCTTTTTGAGTTTCTAAAATTGCTTCAAGTTCTTTTATTCTCATCTTATAGCAAGTAACATCTTGTGTAAGTTCTGAAAGTGCTCTCTTCCCTTCAACTACATGTTGTACTTGAATATCAAGAGAAATATTTTTTTCTTGCAATTCTTGTTGCAGCTGCTGTATAAGATTTTCTTTTTCTTTTAGTAGGTCACCTTGATTTTTATTCTCCTTCTCCTCTGTTTTTAATCTATTGTTTTCATCCATGCAACCTTTTAATTCTGCCTGTAACTTTTCAATCTGTTGTTCCAGTTCCTGGATCTGATGACTTTTTTTGGAAGAGACCTTTACAATTTCCTTACATTCTTCCCAAATGGCCTCAATACTAGAATGAAAAGAACTTTCCCTACTGAGTTCTTGAATATGATATTCTTTAATCCGCTTACTTACCAAATTATCATTCTCTAAAAGGCGTAACTGTGTATTTGGCAAATTATCCTCTTGAGAACCACTTGACAGATCCCTGAGATTGAGTAAATCTATGTTTGAGATCTGAGCAACTGAATCAAGCATTCGCAGTTCATCTATTTTTGCTTGCATTAATTTAATTTGGGAAACATTATTTGTGATGTTTTTCCTAGCGGTTTCTATCTCCTCTGACAATCTCACAATCTTTTCCTCTTGTTCTTGATTTATACCTCTCTGCACATGTAATTCAGAAATTGCATTATCATAATTTGACTGAATTTGTTGGACCTCTATACTTAAAATAAAACTCTTTTTTTCAGAAAGAGAAAGTTCCTGCTGCAAACTAATAATCTTTTTATTTAATTCTGCTTTTTCTGCCTTTTCATTTTTAAGTTCATTTTCAGCGGAAAGTAAACATGTTTTCATCTCTTCATTATTTTCTTGTAAAATTCTAATGCCTTCCCCATCTTCTGAAATGCGCTTTTGCATTTCTTCACTTTTCTTTTCATCTTCAGTGATAGTTGGACTAGCATGAATAGATCCTTTAAAAATAAGAAAATTGCTATTAATCAGGTAAATCTTAAGAAAACCAAAAAGTTACCATATAAGCCAATATTTAAATGTTAAAAAAAAAAAATGGAAGCAAACTTCTAATGAAAACAAAAGTAAGCCACTGAGTGAAAAAAAAAAAAAACAGGTTGCAAAACACACCAATATAAGCCCATTAAAAACGATAGTTCCTTTAATTAATGCAGAAAGAGCAAAAGAAGTACACCAAAATTGACGCAAACTACCCAATTTTCTTTTTATAACTTTCAATATTCTTTCAATTATCTACTACAAATATTTGTTATCATTATAATATGGGACGGAGGGAAGGAAATCACATGAGACACCCCAACACAGACATTCCAAATCCTAAAGATAATTTAAAAGCACAACTGTATTACATATCTACTAAATGAATGACTTGAAAACTGAGTACCTTATATTTTCATAGCTAAAATTAGGGGGGAAATGGTTGAAATTCTGGGAACTCTCATGCAGCCTTACGCATAACTAGCTGTATAACTGTCAAACTCCTTAACCCTATGATCACTTCCTCAAAGGAAAACAAAAATACTATCATCTATCTCAGTTTCCATAGTATTTATGCAAAAACAAGCTTTATTAGTTCAGTTTTCATTCTTTGAATACAATCCACATTAGTTTCCTTCACCCAACCATCTAGATGCTACTATACAGCCGTAACTGTGCAATCCCATTATGCAATCCCAAGATCTCTTTTCTTTAATATGGACTAATTTTAAAAGCTCAGTGAATAAGGATTTATTATCTATAACTTACATTGTTATAGATAATAAAATTACTTTGTCTCCTCTGCCTCAAAGAGTGTAGGGAAAACATGGCATTACCCTTGTGGTAGAGCGTCACTTTCATCAAAGCTTGATGAGTGTATTTCTGAAGCTTTTCTTATGTATGTAGTTACATTTTCCCAATTTACTGCCTTAAGATTCATGATTTATTCTAAGTATTCCAGCTACTCTGAAATCTTAAAGATTTACACTATTTTTATAACAAACTTGCCAACTTACTCTTACGGATTTTTTCTTTTTTTAATAATTTTCAGCCAATATATCCTTTTTCCATCAGATTGTCTCCTATCATCTTACAGTTATGGCAAGTCATCCCAAAGTGGAATGACTCCATCTTCTCCACTGGTTCAGACTTCTATTCTACTTTCCATTTAATGTAATTCTCTACTTTTTTTTTTTAAGATTTTTATTTATTTATTTGACAGAGAGAGATCACAAGTAGACGGAGAGGCAAGCAGAGAGAGAGAGAGAGAGGGAAGCAGGCTCCCTGCTGAGCAGACAGCCCGATGCGGGACTCGATCCCAGGACCCTGAGATCATGACCTGAGCCGAAGGCAGCGGCTTAACCCACTGAGCCACCCAGGCACCCCTGTAATTCTCTACTTTTGATGCTATTTTTATACCTCTGACTTCATCAGTGGAAATGACTAATTAGGAAAACTAAATGAGGATGGATTTTTTTTTCATAACTTAGAAATGGTTTTTTAAGAATACCATGCTCTTTAAAAAAACAAGTTATAAAACTATCTGAACCATTCATCAGGAGAGAGAGAGAAAGGATCTAAGCAAGTTTAAAATGACAACAATCAGAAATTCAGAACTCACAAATAGATCCTATCTATCCTGAGTCAAGAGATTTGAGTCATGCATACCATATGGATACATATAGTCCTTAAACCCTAGAGTGCATACAGAAAGCTCAGTGAAACTTTTGTGATCAAGTAATGTTCTTTTAATTTTACCATATTTTAAGAACTAGGATAATTACATAAGGTAAATCAAACTAATTTGTTTAGTACCTAATTTTTTTTCAGATAATCACACTACTCTTTCAGAAAACTTTAAATTGTCTACAGCCATACCACCCTGAACGCGCCCGATCTCATCTGATCTCAGAAGCTAAGCAGGGTCGGGCCTGGCTAGTACTTGGATGGGAGAAAACTTTAAATGTTTTATATCCAAAGATTTATAGAACATATTCAGGACAGCCTTCTTAGGAAAAAATTAAAGTATTAGTCCAGCAATAGAGATGGGATAACTCTTAAGTATCCATTGCTAACTTATAAAAACTAAACACAAACAACAAGAATGCAGTTGACAGGGTGCCTGGGTGGCTCAGTGGGTTAAGCCGCTGCCTTCAGCTCAGGTCATGATCTCAGGGTCCTGGGATCGAGTCCCGCATCGGGCTCTCTGCTCAGCAGGGAGCCTGCTTCCCTTCCTCTCTCTCTGCCTGCCTCTCTGCCTACTTGTGATCTCTCTCTGTCAAATAAATAAATAAAATCTTTAAAAAAAAAAAAGAATGTAGTTGACACTTTAATTCAGTATTTATACTACATTCAACTTATACTTCTCCTGCTTGTATTCTGTTAAAACAATTACAGTTTGATTGAAAAATCACAAGTAAGCAGACTACATCATGTCTCCGGTTTGTCTCTTTTATTGCTATCTGAAGCCTTATTTCTTGGACTGTTCACATGGCTACCAACTTTCCCAAATTACAGATACAATGACCTCAAACAAGCAAATTCACTTCCATGGGGAAATGGCTTTGCATTTCCTTTTAAGAAGAGAACATAAGCATCCCATGAAACTATCAACCCCCTGATCTTATCCTAGTGGTTACAGGAGTCACAGATTTTATTCTAGACCATTTTTTAGTATGAGGTAAAGGGGAGGAGGGTGGTTACAGCTACGATTTTCATAGGACACCTTATGTAATCCCTGTAGTCTCTAATAACACAAATAATTGAGAAATAGTCAAAGTGGTTGTGACTTTAAGGAGAAAAAAAGTCTTTTGTCATGTTACCTAAACTTATTTAAATCTACCTGCATCAAAATTACTTATAGCTAACAACTATAGTTCTTAAGTATGCTTCTTCATGAATGGGTTACCTTTAGGATTAGTCCCACTGTGTGTTTCACTTGTCCCTGGCCACTTCTACTTCTTTTTTTTTTTTTTTTTTAAGATTTATTTATTTATTTATTTGACAGGCAGAGATCACAAGTAGGCAGAGAGGCAGCCGGGGGGGGCAGGGGAGAGCAGGCTCCCCGCGGAGCAGAGAGCCCAATGCGGGGCTCGATCCCAGGACCCTGGGATCATGACCTGAGCTGAAGGCAGAGGCTTTAACCCACTGAGCCACCCAGGTGCCCCGCCACTTCTACTTCCTAGTGACCTACAGATCCTACATTCTCAGCTATTCTATGGCACTGACCAAAGTGAAAGGAGGAAAGGAGGAAAAAATCATAGCAAACTTGTCCTCCCAGTAGCAATGGATAACAGAAGGCATATGCATATTAGTCTCGATCTATTAGCTCACACAGCACTGTACATCCCATAAACCATATATCTAATATTATCCTCTAAGGCATCTACTTTTGAAAACATTCATTTTACTGCGGCTCTATGAGGTGTTTATTAAGTTGGTGTACTACCCCACTGTTTTCATCGTTGACAACCCAGTAGGCAGGTGGTACTTATTTTACTTTACTAATAACAAAAGTAAGACTTAACTTACCCATTTTTCTCAGGATGAAGCAGCTAGGAAGGTTTCTAAAGCTATGTTTCTAAAACTCTTAGAAAGCCCTTACTCCCTGTATCATATTACAACAGTTTTCTAAAAGAGACAACAGGGGCGCCTGGGTTGCTCAGTCAGTTATGCGGCTGCCTTCAGCTCAGGTCATGATCCCAGGGTCCTGGGATCGAGCCCCACATCGGACTTCCTGCTCAGTGGAGAGCTTGCTTCTCCCTCTCCCTCTGCCTGCTGCTCTGCCTACTTGTGCTCTCTATCTCTCTGTCAAAAAAATAAATCTTTTTAAAAAATTAAATTAAAAAAAGAGAGGTAACAAATAGCTTAGAGAGAACTTTAAAATTGATCCATCTTCCACATAAATAGGGACATGTACTATACAGTAAGCATGTACCTACTTTTTTAGTAATTCCCTAGTAAATACAATAACTTGAGCACATACGTCTTTCATAATGCTCAGCTTGAAGTCTTACTGGCAAATGTCTTTTCATAGATGGAAAAAAGAATGTGGGGAGATTTGGGTATAAGAAAATACTATAATTATGAAAATAGAAATGATGTTTTAACTACCATAGACACAGAAGTAAAAAGAATCATACGTATGCAAAATGGGATAAAAACACAGTATCTAAAAATATTTTATTAAAATAAAGGACAGCTATAAATACATACACCCATCCTCCAAGCAGTCTATAACATGTTAGCAAAAAATCAGTGACCTATACATTTTCTTGGGTTTTTTTTAGATAAAAATTTCCTTCTATTTGCAACTTTTCCCATTACCAGTTTAGGAACTAACTTTCTTAAAACCCTCCTAATGGCAAGTTAAGTAGTACCTTTCTTTGCTGGTGGCTCTTCTAGTTGAAGTTCATTTTTATTTATTCTTTTTCTTCCCAAATCAGTTTTGGTTTTGTTGTCCTCAGGCACTTCAGTGGTTTCATTAGAAGCCAATTTATTGTTTATTATTAAAGAAAATGTACCATCCTTAGGCTAAAATAAAATAAAGATTAGTTGGCATATACAAAGCTATAAGAAACAAAAGCTATAGGAATTATGTTTCAGTAGTATATTGTAAAAATTTTATTTTCAAATTTGTTGAAACATTTTCTAAATTACTTCTTAAGTCTCACCCTAAATAACTGATGGCTCTGGCAAGAGAGTGATATTAACTAACTTGTACATTCAGTAAGGAAAACAAAAACACTTATCTTAAAGTCAGTTAAGCATATAGTTTTATCCTGATATCTACAAGCAAATTCATTGTTAATGGACTAGATATTATTCTGGGGATAACTGGAAAACCCTAAAATACTTACCCCCGGTCACATTCAAAATGTGTTTTGAAAAGAAAAATACAAAACACTATGACAAAATTGTTTCTTATATATACTTGAACTTAAAATCTTGAGGTTCCACTCTAGAAACTCAACAACTGTTTTGTTACCAAAGCCTCTGAAAGATAGGCAGCATTTTTTTATACTTTAACAACTCCCAGAAAAATAATTTTGGCCTTAGCTTTAAATATATAGCCTATGTATATTTAAAGATATACAGTCTACAGACAGCCTTAAAACTGAGCTGCTTATTTATCTAAACAATAAAAATCACTTAGACTTCTATTTTTTTAAAGCAAATATTATGCCTCCCTAAAAGGCTAGCAGAAAAAGATACTATATACTGTTATCTGGAAAAAGGAAGGGTGAAACTCAGCAGTTAAGGACAAGTCTATAAAATAATCAAAGGTATAGTAAAGCCAGGGATTTTTTTTTTTTAAATGCAAAAATTATTTAAATCCCTTCTGCTGGTAGCAAACCATTTTTAGGGGTAAAAAAAAAAAAGTGCATGAAAAACAAAAAGTCATTTTCCATCATAAAATCAAACATTTTATTCAGGAGATTAGATGCCTTTTTTTAAATTATAAAGTAATGAGGTTTTTTAAAGCAGTTTTTTTAGATAAGAGGATCTCATGATGAAAAACCGCTACTCTCACAATTAGTCCCCTGGTAGCACTGAGAAATAACAAAATCCTGGAATAGAAAGATCACACTTGTGACAGAGCCTAAGAGTTTTCAAACACTGCATGACAGGTCAAGTTGTCTCTTCCCTCACTCTTGGGAAATGATCTGATCATTTTTTCCCTCCTTCAAGTTACACAACTTCTCCAAAAAAAAAATCTATCCTCCACAACTGTTATTTTTTTTTAAGATTATTTATTTATTTATTTGACAGACAAGTAGGCAGAGAGGTAGGCAGAGAGAGAGAGGAGGAAACAGGCTCCGTGCTGAGCAGAGAGCCCAATGCGGGGCTCGATCCCAGGACCCTGGGATCGTGACCCAAGCTGAAGGGAGAGGCTTTAACCTACTGAGCCACCCAGGTGCCCCTACACAACTGTTATTGAAAGGAGTCTTTTCTGCCCCTAGAGTATGTGTGGATGTTAAATGATCAAGAACTACCATTCAAAATAAAGTTTATCATTAGGAAGAGTCTGCTTTCAAGACAAGCTTTGGAACAGTGACCTAGATCAACAATTAAATAGCACATCAGGTGAAGTTCCAAATTACTTCACATTTGTTTATGTATTTACATGAAAAATTTCACATACTATTTAAACCTAGCTGGTAACAGAATCTACAACCAATCTAAAAAGTCTATTTATAGGCAAGGACTATTAAAATAGGAACATTGCTAAGTTATTTTTTTTTAAAGATTTTATTTATTTATTTGACAGAGAAAGACACAGTGAGAGAGGGAACACAAGAAGGGTAGAGGGAGAGGGAGAAGAAGGCTTCCCGAGGAGCAGGAAGCCCGATGTGGGACTCGATCCCAGGACCCTGGGATCATGACCTGAGCCAAAGGCGAATGCCCAATGACTGAGCCATCCAGGTGCCCAAACATTGCTATTTTAAATTGTTTTTTTACTATTACTTAAACATGACTAACACACTGCAGTATATAAACATTCTATAGAAATAAATAGAATTCCAACTTAAATTTCCAATAATTTTCTTCAAAGATATAGTTGCCAGAGTGATGTCTCTGGCTTTTTTTTTCTTGTTTTTATTTTCCTTCACCAAACCAAACAAGACTTACAATCCAAATCAAGTGATCAGAGCAAAACCATGTGCTGAACAGCCAAACAAAAGTACTAAGAGTCTGAAGGCCCAGCAGTTCATACTATAAAAAGTCAAGCTCCCAGTCCCAAAAGGTCTTATCTCCCCTTATTTCACAAGTCAATATCCTCTCTTAATTTCTACCGCCACCATCCAAATACCCTTAATCAGAGGCCTCATCAACTATCACCTGACTCTTCCAAGGAGGCTTTTCTGGTCTCTATGCCTCCAGTCTAACTCCATCTCAATCCCATCCTCCAAATTTCCAAATACATCAAACTCAAAATAAAAAATCAACTTTACTACTCCTCTCCTTAAAATTAATGGCTTCTCATTGCCCATGGAATAAAACTCAAACTCTTTAATGCAGAATTTAAGAACTTCAACCACCTTACCCCAACCCACTGCTTCCTGCCTCACTTCTCACCTCTCCTTGCTTCAAACTTTTTCTTGAACAATGCTTGTGCTTTCCTACATTGACTGAAAGATTTCTCATTTCCTGAATCCTACACCTGGAAGGCCAGCCTATTTTCTTGTCCCTCCCAGGTATGGACTGCCCCTTCCCCATACTTTCAACTGATTGAATTTTAATCATCCTTCATGGCTCAACTTAATCATTTTCATCTCCAGAAAGTATTCCCTAAACCTCCACCTATTCTCAGCTCACTGCACATTTCATTATAATTCTGTTTACGTGGTTTCTCTCACGGAGGAGTCATTAAGGGGACTCGTTTTTAGTCATCTATATAATTCTCAAAATCTAATACAGTACCCGGAACATAGTAGACATTCAACAAGTGTTTTTGTTGTTCGTTTTGTTGGTTTTTTTTTTTTTTTTTTGATTGAAATAAATCATTTTATGTTTCTCTTCTTTCTCTTTTCCTTACTAAAAAGGGGTCTCTCCCAGTTTTGTTACCCAAAAAAAAAAAAAAAAAAAAGTTAGACAGACTGAATAATGCTTCTAAAGAATACCAAAATAAAGGTCTGCTACCAGAGATTAGACCAAAGGTAAGCTATTCTAGAATGCTTCTTATTTACTCCTATAGTATCAAAAGCCCCCCTAATGCTTAGATGATTCTGAGAATACTGGTGAATACTGGACCCTGACTTTAAAGAGAGAAACGATAGTCAACAGCACTTTTTACAATGTCAATTTTGCCTCATCTGGTCAGAGAAAAGACATAAAAAAGTACCTCCAAACAAAGCAGAGAGGTTTGGTTATTAGTTTACTCAGGCTATTATGTTATATATATATTCTGTCTTCTTTAATTCAAACAACAATATAAAGGAGTTTACAATAAAAAAACATAAAGGAAAACCAAAACCATTGTTTAAAAAAAAAAAAGGATTAAAAGGCAGGCTGATTATGCTAAACTAACTAAATATGAAATTACCTAAACTTGTACTTCTAAAACCCTTAAACACTTTACATGGCATAGTACATGATGCAATTTTTAAAATAAAATATCCTTGCCATTAAGCATATGAACATTAGCAAAAAATGCATTTAATTAAAATAAGCCTCTAACCAAAAAAACCCTAACTCCACTGAATTTCATTTATAGTTCTATATAAAGACATAGAAATACAGATAGATACAGTGATAGAAACAAAGAGAGACAGAAATCTTTATGACCTCCAGCTATCTGAGCACATTAAGTTCCTTTTGCCCAGACCTCCCCTTCCAACTAGCTAAGGCTTAGACTTCCAAGAGCTACATATTCTTTTCTTTCACATACGTAAAGCACTGCCAGCATAGTTTGTGGGATATTATGTACAAAGAGGTCAAATGCCCTTTTGCATGTTCTCAAAAACTCAGATTTGCACAATGGTAAACTAAATTCCACACCAAAACAAGCAATTCAACATTCTTAGTAAATTAATCTAGGCTATATAAGTTATTTTAAATTACTTTATTTTGAACCAAAACATAGACTTTTTAGTGTAATTTGTAAGGCAGACAAAGTTAAATTCTTATACTGCTTGCAAATGTGTTTTCTGTATGAAATTTTACATTTTGAAATTTGTTGTTTTATCCTCTTTTTGATCAATTATATCTACCAACTCCTAAATTCTTTGATTCTGCATAAGTATTTTCTTTGGAAAGAAGAAAAATAGCAATGTTTAATAAATATATTTTAGGGTAGATAAAATGCAAGTCTGATGCAATTTTAGAATTCCTTCACATTTTAAGACTAAGTAAAAATATCTGTATGCATAGTATGACCTTATTTTTGTTTAAAAAATAATATATGTTTATTTAAATAAAGGAAAGAAAAGCAATATAACATATTGGGTAAGAGGAATCTGGAATTAGATTGTCCAGGGATGAATCCTAAACTTTTCTGAAGTTGTATGGCCCCGGGAAAGTTATTTTATGTCTCTGCAAAAATAAAAAATAACAGTATCTACATCATCATAAAGTTGTTCTGAGATCTAAATGAGTTAATATATGTAGAACATTTTAGAGGATACATAGTTAAGTGTTCTATAAAAATAAATACATATGGGGTGCCTGGATGGCTCAGTCAGTTAAGCATCCCACTCATTTCAGCTCAGGTCATGATCTCAGGGTCTTGGAATCAAGCCCTGTGGCAGGTTCTGCATTCAGTGGGGAGTTTGAGATTCTCTCTCTCGCTCTCCCTCTGCCCCTCACCCCTGGTCCAGTGTACTCTATCTCTTAAATAAATAAATAAAATCTTTCAAATAAATAAATAAGGTAAACATCTAAAAAACAAGCTATCAACCAACTTGGTTTTCTCTCTTATTTTCATTCAGGAGGAAGATTATGGGGGGCTTTCTTATCTTCTCTTTTACATAGAAAAAAGATGCGTGTATATGTTCTCTATATATAAATAAAATATCTTCTGGAAAAACTGAAGAAGCTTTCCAGGGGCTATCATTGGAAACATAATTTTCAATCTTCTATCAATTATTACTTTTTCTTTAATTATTTTAAAAATAAAAGTACCTTGTCGTAATTCATGTTCCTTCAATTACTTTATTAAGTTCCTTATCAAGACAAAATAAAACTAGAAGTATTACCTTATTAGATTTCTCAAGTTCTTGAACCAATGAATTTAAATTAATTTCTGATTCTGAAAAAATAAGAATATTGAAAATAAATAAGCATCTAAAAAATATATCACTGAATAATCACGAAACATGTGTTACATTTGGGAAAAATGATTTTGATAGCCCTAGAAGCACACGGCATTCAGCTACTAATTCTACCCCCAGAGGGCAATGTTTCTGAAAAAGCCACATTCAACATCCCATGCAGGGTAAAAATGAATGACATACACTAAATTGTAAAAAATTTCTGGTATAATTTCAGAGAAGAGAGAAAAATAGTACCTTTCTAGTCCACTTAATTATGTAGAAATACCACTTACCTGCTATTTTCTAACCATTTTGTTTCACAAAGAAAAGGGCAGAGTATTTCATCTAACACTTAAAAATCAGGTATGACATTATAAATATATATGTGTAAATTTAAAATATATATATATATACACGCATACACATATATAGCTCAGAGCTGTCATGGAGCACCAACAAACTTAAGAGCACTCCAGAGGAGTCAGTTTATCCCAAACTTATAAGCCCAGAGCAGAATCTACTACACTATGACAATTCATAAAAAATACAGAATAAAATTCATAGCATTACAATTTCCTGTAAGATTTCTTTATTTGCTCATAAAACTAATGCTTAGTTTGGTGGTGGTTGTTCTTTGGTTTTGTTTTGCTTTTTTTGAGAAGTCCATTTTCTACTAATATTAGTCTGAAAGTAAATAAAGGCAAAAAAAGTTTTTAATAGTAAAGTACTATAAAGCCACTAAAATGTTAAACTTTAAATGTTACCTAGATCAAAGAATCTTCTAGTCACTATAGTAAATAAGCTACATAAATCTCTTATACTCACCAACTATCTTTGTATACATTTGCAACATCTAATATGGTAAGATACATCTACTTACCATTTTCTCTCTTTTTTAACTCTTCCTGGGTTTTGATTAATTCTTCTTTGGTTTTAGTTAATTCAGCCTTAACTTGATTAAATTTTATTTCTAAACAAGCAATAGCTTCCTGGGGGTCAGCAAGAGATGCAATATATAAGTGAGCAATTTCAGCCTGTTTCTTAATATCAGTGACATCATCTTGAAGAGAATCAATAATATCTTCAATTCCTACATGATTATGTGCTTCCTAAAAATAGCAAAAACCACATGCCTATTGTTAACAGTGGCTTTCACTCTTAGAATGTGGCACTATCTGATTTAGACAGTTTTAACACATAGCAAAAAATTCACAACTTAAAATGTTTTTCAATAAAGTATATTAAAGTATCTCCAATTATGAAAAAGCTGTGTCCCATTACGTATTTTCTGTTTTATGGAATGGGAGACATGGTTCCACTCTTTATGTCATTATAGAACAATTATGACATCAGTTCAGGTATACTTTCACTTATAAGTCTCCTAAGTCTCTGTTGGGACAGCTGAGGAAACAAACTTCCATTATCACAACTCAGTCCAAGAGCCAAACCATGTCTGGGACATATAAAGATGATTTGACAGCAAGAGCCAGGACATAAGCATCCCAGGCCCCTAAACTGAGTAAGTAAAAAAAAAAAAAAAGAAAAAGAAAAATCAAACAACGCCCAAAAGACATCAATTTCAGTGGAAGCAACAGAAAAAGATAATGTTTCCTCAACAGCAGGGAATGGTCAGTCAGCCAGCAAGAGCAATCCTTTTTACATATAATACTTTTGCTTTCATCACAGTAAAATATTCTGAAAACTCTGAAGTATTTTAATGTTTTTTCATTATTGATGTGGTACACTACATGCTGGCACCAAAAATATCACTGGACTTAACATTTCAGTTAACATACTTTGGTTTCAACTTCCATGGCACAATCTTGATTTGCTGGTTCTTCTTGAGTATCACATTTACCAACCAAATCCTTGAAGATAGCCAAACGACATTCAGCATTTTCTTCAAGTATCTCTCGTTCCTGAAGGAGAGTTTCCCTTCATAACACAAATTAATCCCATTAAGAAAAAGCAACACTTTGTGTTTTTTTTAATTTCCAAGGTTAAGGACACATGCACCCCTATGTTTACTGCAGCATTATTTACAATAGCCAAACTACAGAAGCAGCCCAAGTGTCTATCAATAGACAAATGCACAAAAATGTGGTGTATATATATACATATATATATACACACACACATATGTACACACACACACACATACACACATCACAATGGAATATTATTTAGCCATAAAAAGGAATGAAATACTGCCATTTACAACAAAATGGATGGTGTTAGAGATTTTAACACTAAGCAAAACAAGTCTAAGAAAGACAAATACTACATGATCTCACTAATATGTGAAATTTAAGAAACAAAACAAATGAACAAAGGGAAAAAAAGAGAGACAAACCAAGAAACAGACTCTTAACCACAGAGAACAAACTTAAGGTTATCAGGGTAAATGTGTAGGGGGATGGGTCATATGGGTGATGGAGATTAAAAAGTACACTTACCACGATGAAAAAAATAAATAAAATAATAAAAATAAATTTTTTTTAAAGATTTTATTTATTTATTTGACAGACAGAGATCATAAACAGGCAGAGAGAGGAGGAAGCAGGCTCCCTGCTGAGCAGAGAGCCCAATGAGGGGCTCGATCCCAGGACCCTGAGATCATGACCTGAGCCGAAGGCAGAGGCTTAACCCACTGAGCCACCCAGGCGCCCCAATAAAAATAAATTTCTAAGATTAAGTATATTATAAACTAAAAGCAGATTCTAAATCATTCATGTACAACTCTGAAACACTGTGAGGATTAGCAAGTTACTTTCAAGCCCACAGAAAGGTCAGAATTCAGAAGCCACTTAATATAAATAAATAACTTTTTTAAGATTCTGAACAAATAAAATTTTCAATTTTTACTAGGACATAAAGAAATAACTTACTTAAAGTCAGCTTCCCGTTGAGCTAAATATTGAGTAAACTCCTGTGTAACTTCATCACGAATTTTAAATTCCAGTGTTAACTTTTCTTTTCTTTCATTTATCAGTTTTTTTTTCAAGTCTTCTATTAAATCTAATAGTTTCTAAAACATAAATATGAAAATCCTAAGAATAAATATATCCCCAAAGAAATATTACAGTCTGAGCATTCAAAAATAACTCTTCATTTAGTGACTATACTTATGCATTCTTTCAATAATGGTAATATTCTCACTGAAAATTACATATTGCAGAAATTCATTAATCTGAAATATCAAGTGGACCTCTCTGTATTTTAAAAATACACTTACAGTAACTCATATGTATTACCATGAGGCTACACAAAGAAAGGAAAAAAAAAGAAAAAAATCTAAAAATCTATTATCTACCGGGAACTACTCTAAAGAGTTCATATTTGATGCTTTTCAATCCACACAACCTCTGTGAGCTTGGGAGCAGCATCCATACTTCAAAGGTGAAGAAAGTAAAGACCAGGTCTGTGGAAAATGCTGAAGGTTGGATTTTAAATTAGTCAAGATCTAAAGCCTAAGTGTTACATAAAGAAGTTACTAAGAATCCCAAAACACTTTCCAAAATGTCAAAAAGAGATGTTACACAAACTTATCTTATTTGGCTTTTATAACTATCCAAATGTAAACAACAACTCCAAGACTTTGGAAAACGCATACATAATCATATAATATGGACAAGGGATAAATAAAGCAATTAACACTTGACATGGCCAGTACAGATCTATGACAAAATAAATTAGAGCATCATATAATAACCTCACATTCCGTAAGATTTCTATTTAAAGTTTCTCAATAATAAATCAATAAACTCTCTCGAAGCTACAGGTCTTTCAATGTCTTAATTTTGTATCTGAAAATATTTTCTATAGATATTTTGACTTTGAAATTCTCCTATGAAACTATACCGAGTAAATACTTATATAACAGGACCCAGTGTTTTGGCTGTGAAAATTGTTATCAGAGTATTGTTTTGTGGTAGTGATTATATTTAATTAAGGAAAAGTGAAACCTAATTCAAAAGTCAAACATAAAAAAGATTGGTTCAATTATGGTGTAATCACACAGTAACCTACTGTAATGAACAATGATGACATATTAATTCATACTTTGCACAATTTTGCACAATTTGCACTTTCAAGTGAAGAAAATCAGGTTACAAAAGTGTAATGTAGAGTAAAAACCCATTAACATGACTGGTATGTAAAGAGATTTTTTTTTTTTTAAGATTATTTATTTATTTGACACACACAGAGAGAGAGAGAGGTCACAAGTAGGCAGAGAGGCAGGCAGAGAGAGAGGGGGAAGCAGGCTCCCCACCGAGCAGAGAGCCTGATGCAGGGCTCGATCCCAGGACCCTGAGATCATGACCTGAGCCGAAGGCAGAGGCTTAACCCACTGAGCCTCCCAGGTGCCCCAAGAGATTTTTATATTTAATTTGTTTCCCTCTTTTTCTTTTTCCAGACTCCACCATGATTAAATAATACTTTTATAATTTCAAACAACCACATTTTCCCACTGTTTAAAACAATAAGCTGTAATGAGACCTGAGCTGAGATCAAGAGTAAGAAGCTTAACTGAGTGAGCCACTTAGGTGTCCCTATTTTTTTAGCAGCAATATCCACAATAGCCAAACTATAGAAAGAACCCAGATGGCCATCAACAGAGAATGGATAAATAAGATTTGGTGTGTGCGCGCGCGCGCACACACACACACACACACACACGCGGGAATACTGCTCAGCCATCAAAAAAATGAAATCTTGCCATTTGCAACAATGTGGATAAAACTACAGGGTATTATGCTAAGTGAAATAAGTCAGCGAAAGACAATCATCATATCATTTCACTCATATGTGGAATTTAAGAAACAAAAAGGTATCATAGGGAATAAATATATAATATATATTATATATTTATATATAAAATATAAATATATAATAAGACAATAAACTATAATGATTAAAGAAGAAATGTAGGAGACCTAAAGAAATATGCATGAATGTGGGAATAGCTTGGGAAATTGCCTTATTTTAATAATTCTCAACAATTTATGTTTTTATCATTGTTAGTGCATGATAAAGTTTTTGCTAAAAAAAAATCTAGTCTTTCTGGCTAAATGAACCATAAGCATCAATATGCCAATATCTATGTATCTCATAATGATTTTTAATGCCAATTAAAATGCTAATAATATAGGGGCGCCTGGGTGGCTCAGTGGGTTAAGCCGCTGCCTTCGGCTCAGGTCATGATCTCAGGGTCCTGGGATCGAGCCCCGCATCGGGCTCTCTGCTCAGCAGGGAGCCTGCTTCCTCCTCTCTCTCTGCCTGCCTCTCTGCCTGCTTGTGATCTCTCTCTGTCAAATAAATAAATAAAATCTTTAAAAAAAAAAAATGCTAATAATATAAAGCAAGCAGTCTAATCAGTTTCATTTTTAAAAGTTAAATATTATAGGGGCGCCTGGGTGGCTCAGTGGGTTAAAGCCTCTGCCTTCAGCTCAGGTCATGATTCCAGGGTCCTGGGATATAGCCTCACATAGGGCTCTCTGCTCAGTGGGGAGCCTGCTTCTTCCTCTCTGCCTGCCTCTCTGCCTACTTGTGATCTCTGTCTGTCAAAAAAATAAAAATAAAAAATAAAAATAAAAAAATAAAATAAAAGTTAAATATTATAATACGTTTTGATGAAATTTTTATTTTATCAATGTTATAGAGAGATAGGCACTTATATGATATAATCAATTATAAACTGTAGCATTAGTTTCCTCTGGTAAATTCAGAAATTTTACTAACATTTCAACTTTAATCAACATCATATATAAACTTCAGCTTTGAGAAAATTAATACAAACTAAACTAGGCCTACTGATCACTCCTTTTATCACTGAGGTAAAGCATTACATTACAGAGGTCCACGGTAAACAAGATCCCATCACATATTGACCAGATAGATTGGGACTAGCATCTGAAGCTTTCATTCTCATTTCCAAACAACACAGGTGCAATAATGGTCTTCAGGGACAATGAACTAAATTATTAAAACGAGAATATTTAAACCAATATATCATCCATCTACTTTGAGTTCTATAGTCCAAGGGTACTAGGATGTGAGATTTGTCAACACTTTTATTTTATTTTATTTTATTTTAAAGATTTTGTTTATTTATTTGACAGAGATCACAAGTAGGCAGAGAAGCAGGCAGAGAGAGAGGAGGAAGCAGGCTCCCTGCTGAGCAGGGCTCCATTCCAGGACCCTGGAATCATGACCTGAGCCGAAGGCAGAGGCTTTAACCCACTGAGCCACCCAGGTGCCCCTTGTCAACACTTTTAAAGCACACCCATGAGCATATGGTTATCAGGGTTCCTAGGACAATGGTTAAGAAGACTCCATATATATAGATGTAGTTATGGCCAATTAATGAGGGGAACCAGTAATATGAACATGAGCTAAATCTCAGGATTAATACAATGTAAATAAATGTGTGAACTGTATCTGAACAGAGTCTAAAATTACCACCATTCAATCTTATTTATTTACTATAAATATATAGATGACCAACCAATTCCTGTTTTTGAAGACTAATTGGTACTGGGTGGCCATTTTGAGTGCTTGTACTTAAGACTGCAAACTAAGTTTGGTGGAGTATGCCAGAATCATTGTGTGAAAGGATACTGCAGAAGAAGGCATCCACCTGGTCTCAAAAGTATCATCACACAGGTGATACAATTTCACAATGAAAAGAGATCTGAAACACAATACCTTAACCATATGAGCAAAACCTAGCATCACCAAGAATGGGGAAATCAGGTATCATGTGTCTCCAGATAGGACGCAATATGAAATTCACAACTTGACCTAGATGATAGTGTAATACCTGAATCATGAAGAAAAATCAGAGAAATCCAGATTGGGGGTATTCTACAAGACAACTAGCCTTAACTTCTCAAAAATATCTTTGTTAGATTACAAATAACTAAAGAAACATAAGAAACATGACAATCAAAAGCAATTTTTTAACTTCAGTTGTAGATCAAAAACAAAGTGCCTATAAAGGACATAGTGGGATCACTGAAGAAATCTCACTATGGACAGTATAACAGATTATATTATTCTATCAATATTAAATTGCTTAGGTGTGAAAATGGTCTTGTGATCATAAGGACTATGTCTACAGTATTAGGAAACACACTGAAGTAGTTGTAAGGTATCATTCATTATGTCTATACCTTATTTTCAAATGGTACAGGCAAAAAATGTGTATTCACAAACATAAAGAATTGAACATGGTAAAATGTTAACTAACAAATCCAATGGGTTTTCACTGTACTAGTCTTTCTGTGCGTTTAAAATTTTTCAAATTATAGGAGCACCTGGCTGGCCTAGTCGGTACAGTGTGCAACTCTTGATCATGGAGTTGTGAGTGCAAGCCGCATGTTGAAAAGATTACTTAAAAATAAAATCTTTAGGGGTGCCTGGGTGGCTCAGTGGGTTAAGCCTCTGCCTTTGGCTCAGGTCATGATCTCAGGGGCCTGGGATCGAGCCCCGCATCAGGCTCTCTGCTCAGGGGGAGCCTGCTTCCCCCTCTCTCTCTGCCTGCCTCTCTGCCTACTTGTGATCTCTCTCTCTCTCTGTCAAATAAATAAATAAAAATTTTTTTAAAAAAATAAATAAAATAAAATCTTTTAAAAAGTTACTTTCTTACAAAATATAAAGCTGAGATATATAAAAAATTTAGCACATTCTTGAAAAAAATTAGAAGACAGGGAGGCTTAAGTATTATTAAATCTAACTTCACAATAATAATAAGCCAAGCTTAGAAGTACAAGTTCTTAATACATACTCTCTTCTCCTCGTAGCTAATGAAAGCCTTATCTTCCTCCAGTGTTTTATCTAGATCTTCATCAGTAAGTTCAGTTTCCACACTTTGGTTTTCTTCACCTTTTTCTAAATCCTCAATTAGATCTTCATCTTCCACCACATCTTCTAGACCACTTTCCCATGAAATTGTGGATCTTTTTACATTTAATATTTTATTAACTGAATTATTAATGTCCAATAATATATCTTGAGACTTGACAGGTCCAAATGATTTCTCTTGCGAAGAATTTAAAGTGTCTGGAACACAAACCTGTTAAAATATCCAATGTGACTTTTAAAACAGAAAAGGAAAAACTGTCGACGAAAAAATAATTTCGTAAATTTAAGTCAAATCACAACTCTAGCATTTAAAAAAAAGACCTATGCAAACAAACATACAAGAAGGGCTCCTAGCAGAAGGGTTTCCTGATTAGCCACTTAGTGAACTAGATGGGTGGTGGAGCAGTCAATCCATTACAAGAATACTTATAATTTGGGGGTGCCTGGGTGGCTCTGTTGGCTGAGCATCCAACTCCCAGTTTCAGCTCAGGTCATGATCTTGGGGTTGTGGGATCGAGCCCCATGTTGGGGCTCAGAGTCAGTTTGGGTTTCTCTCTCCCTGTCTCTCTGCTCCTCTCCCTCCCATGCTTTCTTTCTCTCTCTCCCCTCTGTCATTTTCTAAAATAAAATAAATAAATCTTTAAGAAAAAGTAATTACACAAGGGATAACTTTCAATCTTGTCACATGTCCTCTTACTTGGTCAAACATTTACATTTTTAATCTTCAATTATTTCCTAGGTTTACAGTTGTTAAGTGCAAAATGTACTAGCCATGCTGAGAAAAAATAGATCATATCCTAATAAGAGACTTAATAAATTCTGCAGAAATTTGAATATATTTACTTTTTGTGCAATGGCTGAGAATTTCAACACATTGAGCGTTTCATCATAGGCAAAATAACATTGGCTGATGTTGACAATCATGCATATTTTCCCTTTACCATTAAAAAAACTTTGAAAATAGTGGGTCAGTTTGCTTTCCCGGAAAGGCACGTGCTGTTGAAACCTATGGAAAAATTTTTCAAAAAACTCTAAGTTAAAACAAATCTCATGAAGTCAGAACGCTAATAAATTTTACAAAGAAATAATTGATCTAGCTATCATGGACTTCTAGGTTAGTGATTAGCATATAAAACAGAAAAGTCATTTTCTGTTTATTCCTACTATTTTCTTTAAATACTGCTGATAATAATACTAAAAATAACAATAACTCACTAGACAAATGTTAAGAAAACCAAATTAAAGTGGGTTGTGTTTTCTAATGTTAAGAAATGTTACAATATATGCCATGAAACACCTTTACTAAAAATGATAAAGGTTAATTACAACTTATTCAGCTTAAAATGCTAATTAATGCAGAAATCTATCACATCTAGAAGAACAAAATGATTAGTAAGAATAAAGTGGTTATAGATGCTAAGCCAGGATCATGAGAAGCTTATTATCTCTAGTGTCTATTGACATATACTTGCGATGGAAAATATTATGTTTACTTGATGAGTCAATGGCATTGACTGACATTGTTTTTTTATTTCAGTTTTTTTAATCCAAGAACTCTAAGTATTTCTTTCATATTTCATATATACACATTACATAAAAGCAGGTTAAAAACAAAAAAGAACTTTCTAAAATAAGATTTGAAAGTTTAAATATTATTAATACTTAATATACACATAGCACTTCCAGCAACTTACTTTGACTTTTCACTGTTTTTCAAAACATTGATACACTTTCCCAGAGTCAATAAAGAAGTGTTGATATTCCCAGTCTCTCTTAACCTTTCCCCTTCATTCTGTGTCTTCATGCTTCTTTCTGAACCAGCAAGATCACATAAACACAATCTGAATTAACCAAAAAAAAAAAAAAAAAAAAAAACCTATAAAAAGTTCTTCAAAACAAAACAATTCAAAATAATTACAATTTTTTTTTTTTAAGTGAGAGAGAGAGAGAGCCTTAGTGGGGCTTGAGGAGGAGAGGGAGAAAGAGAATCTTGAGCAGGCTCCATGCTTAGTGAAGAGTCTAATACTGGACTCAATCTCACAATCCTAAAATCATGACCTGAGCCGAAATCAAGAGTCGGGCATTTAACCAAGTGAGCCACCCAGGCGCCCCCAAAATAATTACAATTTAAAGAATGCTCAACTTACTCACTGACTCGTATTACACGAGGCATTTCAGAATCTTCAATCTGTAATATTCTAATAGTGAATATGCTATGACTAAAAGAAATATAGAAAAATCAAATGTTATCTTTCATTTTTAATTTCTGTATTCTAAACAGACAACGTAAGTATCTAAATCAACGTTTATATCCTAATACTAGCCATACCTCCAGCACTGCACTTTCCAACTAGTTGCCAGATATTTCAATCCAGTGTTCCACTGTCACCTACATACCTAATTCCCTAAAACTAAATATCTTATCTTTCATTAAGCCCCAAATTCTTTGAACCCTCTCCTTCTCTTAACATTCAAACTTCTATTAGTGAAATCATTTATAATAAAATCTCAATTTACTTGCAAAGATTATACTATTAGTTAAAATGGTATATATTCTAATTTTCTTTTAATATACACTTAAAGCATACATTAGGCCCAAATACAGGCTTATCTGGATCATATACTATCTTCATGCCATACTGAGTATGGGGGACAGGGCTTTTTCCCCCTTAAGAGACAACCTGTTTTAAATATTTCACTGCTTAAACTTATTTCCTTTTGTCTCTCAAGCCTCAATCCCTTCCTTTAAAAACATCATCCCTTAACCCCTTGAGATGCATACTGTAGGTAACTCTTAAAATATTGAGCTTAGATATTCACATAAAGAATAAAAATAGCTAAGAGACTTCATGCAAATTAGTAAATTTTGTTAGAACAATAAACAGTCCTGATAATCTTTTGTGTTCATTGCTCTTAATAAAATATTTTTTATGCCCATGAATTCATTTAATATATCAGAGAACCTACTGCCCACTTTAATCTTAGTTGTATTTATAATAGCACAGAATACCCTGGGTACTTCAAGCTCACACAGCAGGGCTTCCTCTTTACCTTCTACTAGAAGCATTGTTCAGTTTGGTGAAGGCAACACTCTGGTGCTTTATTCCTAGTTTTAAGAGTCTATACGCTTCTTTGGAATCAGATACTTGAATCCATTGTAGATCTTTGAAAAGTAAAGAGGACACATATCACTTTATAAAAACAGCATTTGTTATACAATGTAATCTCTTTAGAGATTTGTAACCTCTTTTCCCAAAGACATATAATGAAATCTTTTAATAACAATGCCTAGGTGGAATCCTCTCAGACATTCTATATTCCACTAGAAGAGATACACATGAGGAGGATACTATAATTATTTTCCAATATTTAAGTTATACAAACACAGATGTTTTTCAACAGTAGGCCAAAGGGAAAATTGAAAATAAAAGAAACTCCGTAGAATTAAACATCCAGAAAAAAAAAAAAAAAAAAAGAAGACAAAGCATATTATAGATTAAACCTACAAAATTACCTAGATGTGAGACACTGCAGATTGCAATTCATTAGTCAATCATGAAGTCAAATTCAGAGTCATAAACAGCATTTTATAAAAATGAAACAAAATACAGAAAAATATCAAAGTATATTCCTTGTACTAAGGGTAAGTATAATTAATGAAACTTCTGAGTTGTAAATACATATGCATATATACACACATGCAAATACTAGATAATGTTAATTTATCTAGTATCTAGTTATCTAGTTAATTACTAGATAATGTTAATATATGTATGTACTTTCTACTTTGAGTAGTACTTAGTAGTACTTAGTACTTACTAAGGGTAAGTATAATTAATGAAACTTCTGAGTTGTAAATATATATGCGTATATACACACATGCAAATACTAGATAATGTTAATTATCTAGTATCTAGTATCTAGTTATCTAGTTAATTACTAGATAATGTTAATATATGTATGTACTTCTACTTTAAGTAGTGATTTTATAAAGTTGGAAAAACACCACTGTGGAAGAGCAGATACATATCCATAGCTTCATAGCTGCTACAAAGCAGCAGAATAATGTGAATATCAACACACACAGCTTTTCCCACCTCCCAAAATCCTACCAATGATACTCAAGCAAAACAGTATCAACCCTGACCCCTTTACACTCAGGTTTAATTAACATACCAAAACATACCTCCAAAGCACAAACTTCTCTTACTATGTTGATGTTAATGATTAATATAAAAATTTTCTATCTCCAGCTTGCTGTAACAAAGCCTAGAAAGGAACTTCAGAGCAGTTAAATAAAAAGCATTCTTTACTATACCTTTTATAAAAGAATAGCCCTTTACATCTTGTGAAAGGCGTAGCATCTTTCTCTTTTGGAACTTAGATAATACGGGAACAAACAAGTCATAAATACATTCATTGTAAATCTCAAAGAAAGAAACCCACACAGAAAATTTTATATTATTATCCATATTCAAGCTAGCTTGTTCACAGTCTTTCATGGATTCTTCAAACTCTGGGATATTCAAAGAGCTGGTTAAACTTCCTACAAAAAATAGAAAAGGATAATCACAAAATTTAAAAACTGGCTAAAACTGACATAAGACAGATCAAGAACCTGAAAAACTAAGTAACCTTAATCTTTCAGCAAGGTTAAATACTTTTTGGACCAAAACAGATGTTAAAAAAAAAAATCTGTATTAACTAAAGCTTGGCTGCTTTTTATCTTTCTTTTCTTTTTGAAAGAATTCCAATGAATCAAATTGAAATTACCTGTAAAGGACAAAGAAAAAATAATATCTCTTTTGAATTCTACATGAAAGTTACAAGTGAAAGGGATTCCTTGTGATATTAAATCCAAATAAAACTTTACAGTGATTGATATTTCATATAGTATGTACCATTTTCTTATAATTATTGTTATTAAAAAAAATTAAGTCACTAGGAGTGATTCAAAAATTAAAAGCTATTCAAATGTATTTCATATAATAAACATTTGAAAAGTAAGTGAGAAAGGAAACCTTACCATAAAGAGTATCATAACTATCATTCTGCATCACAACCTAAAAAGGAACAATTTAAGTTAAAAACCATTTTTAGTTAAGGTTAAATAACCAGTACATTGATTATCTATCTGAATAAGTCACCATCCAAATCACAACCTTTCATCTACTCAATTTCAACGACCACTATTAATTCTTTCCCCTAGTTAAATAACAGGGTCTCAAAGTAAGAAATCTGGGAGGAGCGCCTGGGTGGCTCAGTAGGTTAAAGCCTCTGCCTTCAGCCGAGGTCATGATCCCAGGGTCCTGGGATCAAGCCCCACATTGGCGCTCTGCTCAGCGGTGAAACTGCTTCCTCCTCTCTCTCTCTCTCTCTCTCTCTCTCTATCTAGTATCTAGTTATCTAGTTAATTACTAGATAATGTTAATATATGTATGTACTTTCTACTTTGAGTAGTACTTAGTAGTACTTAGTACTTACTAAGGGTAAGTATAATTAATGAAACTTCTGAGTTGTAAATATATATGCGTATATACACACATGCAAATACTAGATAATGTTAATTATCTAGTATCTAGTATCTAGTTATCTAGTTAATTACTAGATAATGTTAATATATGTATGTACTTCTACTTTAAGTAGTGATTTTATAAAGTTGGAAAAACACCACTGTGGAAGAGCAGATACATATCCATAGCTTCATAGCTGCTACAAAGCAGCAGAATAATGTGAATATCAACACACACAGCTTTTCCCACCTCCCAAAATCCTACCAATGATACTCAAGCAAAACAGTATCAACCCTGACCCCTTTACACTCAGGTTTAATTAACATACCAAAACATACCTCCAAAGCACAAACTTCTCTTACTATGTTGATGTTAATGATTAATATAAAAATTTTCTATCTCCAGCTTGCTGTAACAAAGCCTAGAAAGGAACTTCAGAGCAGTTAAATAAAAAGCATTCTTTACTATACCTTTTATAAAAGAATAGCCCTTTACATCTTGTGAAAGGCGTAGCATCTTTCTCTTTTGGAACTTAGATAATACGGGAACAAACAAGTCATAAATACATTCATTGTAAATCTCAAAGAAAGAAACCCACACAGAAAATTTTATATTATTATCCATATTCAAGCTAGCTTGTTCACAGTCTTTCATGGATTCTTCAAACTCTGGGATATTCAAAGAGCTGGTTAAACTTCCTACAAAAAATAGAAAAGGATAATCACAAAATTTAAAAACTGGCTAAAACTGACATAAGACAGATCAAGAACCTGAAAAACTAAGTAACCTTAATCTTTCAGCAAGGTTAAATACTTTTTGGACCAAAACAGATGTTAAAAAAAAAAATCTGTATTAACTAAAGCTTGGCTGCTTTTTTATCTTTCTTTTCTTTTTGAAAGAATTCCAATGAATCAAATTGAAATTACCTGTAAAGGACAAAGAAAAAATAATATCTCTTTTGAATTCTACATGAAAGTTACAAGTGAAAGGGATTCCTTGTGATATTAAATCCAAATAAAACTTTACAGTGATTGATATTTCATATAGTATGTACCATTTTCTTATAATTATTGTTATTAAAAAAAATTAAGTCACTAGGAGTGATTCAAAAATTAAAAGCTATTCAAATGTATTTCATATAATAAACATTTGAAAAGTAAGTGAGAAAGGAAACCTTACCATAAAGAGTATCATAACTATCATTCTGCATCACAACCTAAAAAGGAACAATTTAAGTTAAAAACCATTTTTAGTTAAGGTTAAATAACCAGTACATTGATTATCTATCTGAATAAGTCACCATCCAAATCACAACCTTTCATCTACTCAATTTCAACGACCACTATTAATTCTTTCCCCTAGTTAAATAACAGGGTCTCAAAGTAAGAAATCTGGGAGGAGCGCCTGGGTGGCTCAGTAGGTTAAAGCCTCTGCCTTCAGCCGAGGTCATGATCCCAGGGTCCTGGGATCAAGCCCCACATTGGCGCTCTGCTCAGCGGTGAAACTGCTTCCTCCTCTCTCTCTCTCTCTCTCTCTCTCTCTGCCTGCCTCTCTGCCTACTTGTGATCTCTGTCTGTCAAATAAATAAATAAATAAATAAATAAATAAAAAGAAATCTGGGAAACCACAAAAGAATATTAAAAAGAATATCAGGGACACCTGGGTGGCTCAATTGGTTAAGCAGCTGCCTTCGGCTCAGGTCATGATCCCAGGGTCCTAGGATCGAGCCCTGCATCAGGCTCCCTGCTTAGCAGACAGCTTGCTTCTCTCTCTCCCTCTGCCTGCTGCTCAGCTTACTTGTGCTCTCTATCTCTGTCAAGTAAATAAATAAAATCTTTAAAAAAAAAAAAAAAAAAAAGAGGGGCGCCTGGGTGGCTCAGGGGGTTAAAGCCCCTGCCTTCGGCTCAGGTCATGGTCCCAGGGTCCCAGGGTCCTGGGATCGAGCCCCACATCAGGCTCTCTGCTCAGCAGGGAGCCTGCTTACTCCTCTCTCTCTCTGCCTGCCTCTCTGCCTACTTGTGATCTCTATCTGTCAAATAAATAAATAAAATCTTAAAAAAATATCATCACATATGATCCCTGCCACTCACAATTACTAGTAATATTTCAATATATTCCTTTCTATTCTCCACACTTATTACACTGACAGCTTTTACTTTTACTTACTATGTTTAAAAATTATTTATAAACAAGTAATGGTGGCTGTGTAATCGAAAAGATGTGAAATACATTAATTATTCCCCTATTACTAACCATTTAGATCATCTACAAAGTTATGTCAGTAAAAATAATACTAAGATATATATCTTTATCATTTATCTCTCCTGCACTCTAATTAGTTCCTTAGGATATATCCCTAAATGTGAATTAGTGGATGAAAAGATATGAAAAATTTTTAAGTTCTCACTCACAGTATTGCCAAACCATTTTCTAAAAACACATTTTACAAATATATGAAAGCGTGATTTCATTTTTCTAATATTTTAATAACTTCATAGACTATGTTTTAACTGGATAACTTGTGAGGGAAGTTTTTTCATTATTAATGACTTCCACTTCCTCCAAGAATTTTCTTCGCTATTCTGTACCAATTTCCATAATTTTTATTTATACTCACTATTTTACTTTCAGAGATCTTAATCATGGACTCTAAATTCTGAACTCGCTGAGCAAAAAATATTTTATTAAATTGAATCCCTGATTTCTAAATGTCTTAAAAAAAAAAAAAAAAGAGGGACGCCTGGGTGGTTCAGTTGGTTAAGCGGATACCTTCGGCTCAGGTCATGATCCCAGCGTCCTGGGATCGAGTCCCACGTCGGGCTCCTTGCTCAGCGGGGAGCCTGCTTCTCCCTCTGCCTCTGCCTACCACTCTGTCTGCCTGTGCTCATGCTCTCTCTCTCTCTCTAACAAATAAATAAATAAAATCTTTTAAAAAAAAAAAAAAAAAAAAAGAACCCCATCAATATTATGCAACTATCTATAAAAACTGTTACTGGTTTTAACCACCTTGAATAGGATAAATGTCTGAAAATGGACATAAAATCTGTAAGAAACAGGAATAAGCAAATATTCCTTTACAAAAAACTTTCTATGTGGAGCGCCTGAGTGGCTCAGTGGGTTAAAGCCTCTGCCTTCGGCTCAGGTCATGATCCCAGGATCCTGGGATGGAGCCCCATGTCAGGCTCTCTGCTCTGCAGAGAGCCTGCTTCCTCCTCTCTCTGCCTGCCTCTCTGCCTACTTGTTATCTCTGTCTGTCAAATAAATAAATAAAATCTTTAAAGAAAAAAAACCTTTCTGTGAAAAACTGATTGAGGAAAGAAAGAAAAGAGGCCAATATAACCTAACAGATAAATGTTATAAGAAATTATCACTTTTTATTTCTCACATTCCCTTGATTAGATTTTGTATGTACAAATTACTTCTACAATTCAAAAATTTTTAATCATTACATATAGTAGTCCCTGCAACAACCAAAAAAAATTTCAGAACCATTCACATGTGTACTGTTTAAACATTTCTGTTATTTGTACAATATAAAGTAAGAAGAGAGGCATTCAAAACAAGTTTATACTTTTCTCAAAAAGAAAAGACAATGATCACCATCACCACCACCATCACAAAATATTTTAATATAAGCTGAAACAAAGAGCTTATAGAAGATCATAATGTATATATTTTTCACATACTAGACTACTCCCATACCTCTTTAATTTGCCGAAGCAATGCACTTTTGCTAGCAACCTCTTCTTTCTCTTGATGTGGTGATAACCGTAAATATTCTCTAGATCTATGTGGTTTAAGGTTCATCTTTGTGTATAGCCTTTCCTGAAGACTATCAAATAATACATTCAAAGTTCGTGGCAGAATACCAATATTTTCTTCTGTGCCTGTGAGAAAGAATTTTTGTTTTATACTCTCTTAGAGTATTAGGAAATTGGAAAACATTCCTGGATTACCAAGGTTCCTTTTATACAACCAATAGGCAAGAGTAAACAGCTATGACAAAAGCAAAAGAAGCTGAAGGATTACTCAGTTTTCCATCACTTTGCTCTTCATTGTATAATGGGACATTTTATCAACTATTCTACTGGTGCAAAATCTGAAAATTTCCATTCAGATCAGCCATAACATTTGCAATCACCCATAATCACAAAGTATAAAAGTAAACAAAATGCTTCCTTGGTTATCCATGCTTAATTCACTATGTCACATAAATCTTTTTTCTGAATTTTTATCATCTCATTCTCTATCATATGGGTAAAGCAATTTCACAAACGAATTAAATCAATCTGAATCAAAACCCATCAGCAATACACATTCAAAATGCTATTAGTATTAAAAATGGAGCAAATGTATTAGGTAATGGAAACATAACTACATGCAAGTATTATGAGAATGAGGGTATATTAGTGCTTTAATCCTTTCCAGCAAAAATATTAAGTTTACCTTGAAATGTATATGTTTTTCCTGAATTGGTTAGCCCGTAAGTAAAAATCAGCCGACTCTGTCCTTTCAAGAGGTCTTTTACTGGCTGCATAATGCAACCCTGGAAGAATTCCTTCTGTGTAGTTTCTGGGCCAAAAACCTAATAAGCATTTTTAAAACAAGCTTTTTTAGAAAATTCAAGTAAATTTTTACAATCAGTTCTACCCCCATAACTCATGTTTTAAAATTTTATTTTTTAAGCTTATTTATTTATTTAAGTAATCTCTACAGCCAACATGGGGCTCAAACTCATGACCCTGATACCAAGAGTTATGGGCTCCCCTGACTGAGCCCGCCAGGCACCCCTCATGCTTCAAAAACTTAAAAGATCTCTTACAAGATTCATATATTTAGGATAGGTGCCATATCCCCAACTCTCACAAATACACATGATATTTTAATTACTGTCAGAAAGTTTTCAGGATAGAAATCTGATCTAGTCAATCAAGTTTTCATCTAAATTTTGAAAAGAACATTTCTTAAAACAAAAAAAGTTTAAAAAACTATAATCTATTCACTTCCAATTATATATTTATAAACCTGAAATTTGAGTCCTACTCTTCAGAAAAAAAATACCAGTGCCTAACACCTAAGTTCCATAAGCACATGATATGTATAGTTCATTATATACAATTATGTAGCTATGTAGCCTAAGTCAAATTGCTTCTACTTAAAAGAAAAATCTCCAGTTTCACATAAGTACTTACCTTGGAAAAACTGAATTTCTGTGCCATCTGTCCAGAGCTTTTCTCACTTAACCGACCAAGGATGCTTTGAGGATCTTTCAGCAGAATGGTCTGTGAGTCCAGCATATACACACAGCCCTAGAACACATAAATAAACATAAATAATCCCACAATAAATAAAAACAATGACATTTTGTCCATTTAATGAAAGTAAAACCCAATTAAAGTCACCACAAACCTCAGACTCATGTTCTTTTTCTGACTGTGTAAACGGTCTTATTCGAAGACAAACCTGGAGATAATCTTTGGATTCCAAACTATTTGCCTTAAAAAAGAAGAACAAAATAACTGTATTTTAAAAATGCAAAATATGGCTTTTCAGAAATCACCTTTCTTTAAGTGGCTATTACTATAACTAACTGAGACTACAGAGAACCCCTAAGCAAACCGTGATTCTTCTGTTTGTAATCACTTTTATGTCTAAAGAGAAGCAAATCTACTTTAAAAAAACACCACAAAAGACTGTTTCCTCTACCTTCTATATTTATACTTGAAGCTTACAATATGCCTCTTTTCCATAAAATCCTCACCTTTATAACTAAATAAAAATAGGTCTCTAAGTCACTAAAACACAGTACTCTAGAATAAATTACATGCAACAGAATAGTCTATTAACCGAAATGCTCAATTCCATCTCAAATTTTTTTGCTATACAGCATTCTCTTTACTCCTTCATTTGGGGAAGAAATAAGTTTAGTTCATTTCTTAAAATAATTCTAAAGAAATGTGGTTTTTTTTAATAAAAAGGAAATAACTACTTAAATATACCTTACTAAAAAAAAAAAAAAGTACCCAGAAACTAGAAAATCTGAACAGTTCTATATCTATTAAAGAAATTCAACTTATATTCAAATAAACAAAATAATCTCACAAAAAAACTCCAGTCCCTGGTAATTTATTAGTCAATTCTCTCAAACACTTTAGGATATAATCATACCAATCATAGAGAAGCCTTTAAGAAAATAAAAAGAACACTTTTCAACTAATTTTGAGTATGACATAACCCTGGTACCACAATATGACAAAGATATCCCCAGAAGAAATTACAGAAAAATATCCCTAATTAAGATAGATGGAAAAATTCCCTAATAAAGTATTAGCCAATATATAAAATAAGATAATACATCCTGACCAAAACTGTTTTATCTCAGGAATACAAGGTCAATTTAGCATTGAAAAATCAATCTGGGTAAATAACCACACTAAAAGAATAAAGCAATGTTTATCTCTAAGGGCGCCTGGGTGGCTCAGTTGGTTAAGCAACTGCCTTCAGCTCAGGGAATGATCCCAGAGTCCTGGGATGGAGCCCCAGGTAGAATTCCCTGATCAGCGGGGAGTCTACTTGTCCCTCTCCCTTAGCCTCACACCTGCTCGTGCTTTCTCTCTCTCTCTCTAATAAATATTAAAAAAAAAAGCATTTGAATGATGACATGAAATTGACATAAGTATCAACATCCATTCATAATAATTCTCAGCAAAGTGGAATAGACAGAAACTTCCTTCACCTGACAAAGGACATTTACAAAAACCTACAGCTAACATCACATTTAATGGTGAAAGACTGAATCTAAGATGAATAGCAAGATAAATAACAATATGAGGATTTCTGCTTTCATCATTTTTATTCAGCTCTGTACTAGAGGATCCAGTAAATGTAATTAGGAAAAAGAAAAGAAAGGAAATGGAAAAGGAAAGGAAAGGAAAGAAGGGCATCCCGAAAAGAAAAGAAGGGCATCCAGATCAGGAAGAAATAAAATTGTCTTCATTCACTGACAACATTAATATCTATATGCAAAAATCAAATAAAATCTACCAAAACGTTACTTGAACTATTAAATGAGTTTAGCAATGTAACAGGATATAAGACCAATATGCAAAATCAATTATTCTTTTATATACTGGGGAAAAAGTCAGAAATTGATTTTAAAAAGCAATGCCATTTGGAATTGCATCAAAAATCATGAAATACTTAAGGGATAAATCTGACAAAAGATGTGAAAGGGCTATTCCTTGGAAACTACAAAACAATGTTCAGAGAAATAAAGGAGACCAAAAGAAATTGAGATAAAACTTGCTCATCGTTTTGGTAAACTCAATATTGTTAAGATGTCAATTCTTCCAAGACTGATCTATAGATTCAATACAACGGCAATCAAAATCCCAAGAGGCTTTTGTTGTGGCAACTGACAAGCTCATTTTAAAATTCACGTAGAGGAGCGCCTGGGTGGCTCAGTGGGTTAAGCCTCTGCAGTAGGCTCAGGTCACGATCTCAGGGTCCTGGGATGGAGCCCCGCATCCAGCTCTCTGCTCAGCAGGAAGCTTGCTTCTCCCCTGCCACCCTCCTGCCGCCCCCCGCTTGCCTCTCTGCCTACTTGTGATCTCTGTCAAATAAATAAATAAAATCTTAAAAAAAAAAAAAAAAGAAAGAAAGAAAGAAAGAAATGCAAAGTACCTAGAATAGTCAAAACAACTATGAAAAAAATTTTGTGGGCTAACAGAACAAGACTACCTGATTTCAACACTACAATGATCAAAACAGTGGGGTACTGGCAGAAAGACAAATAAATGAAACAATATTTAGAAATAAACCCCTACACAGGACATCTGATGATAAAGGTGGAAAAGAAATGGAGTACAGAAAGCACAGCTTTTTCAACAAATCAGGCTAGAACAACTGGATACCTATACATTAAAAAAAAAAAAAAAAAATCTGGATACACAGTTCACATTGTATTTAAAAATTAATTTAAAATGGATCATATCCTAAATGTAAAATTAAACCTGTAAAACTTCTAAAAAGAACACACAGAAGAAAATCTTTGTGGACTTGAGTTAGGCAAAAATTTCTTTTCTTTTCTTTTCTTTTTTTTTTTTTTTTTTGTAAAGATTTTATCTACTTATTTGACAGAGAACACAAGCAGGGGGAGCGGCATGCAGGGGGAGAAGGAGAGGGAGAAGCAGGCTCCCCTGCTGAACAAAAAGCCTAACATGGGACTCAATCCCAGGACCCTGAAATCATGACCTGAGCTGAAGGCAGACGCTTAACCAACTGAGCCATGCAGGTGCCCGCAGGCAAAGATTTCTTAAATATGACACCAAAAGGACCATCCATAATAGAAAAAAAAATTAAATTAAAAACTTCTGTTCTTCAAAAAAAACACTAGTAAGGGATAACAGGCAAGCCATAAACTGGGAAAAAATATTTATAAAGTATATACGTGACAAACCAATGCATCTGAAAAATATAAAGGATACTTAAAATTAAATAATAATATAAAAACAAACAACCCAATTTTTTTAAATGGGCAAAGATTTAAATTGACACTTCACTAAAAAAACACTAATGAAAAATAATCACATGAAAACATGTTCAGTATCTTCAGTTATTAAGTTAAATGCAAATACCAATGTGATACCATTACATCTATTAGAATGGCTTAAAATAAAGACTGCCCAGAAAAGCCAATATAAAATTAAAGGAGTATATCAAAGTTGAAGGACTGACAGTACACAACTTCAAGACATACTATAAAGCTACAGTACTCAAGACAGCAAAAGAACTGGCAAAAGAACAGAATCCATCAATGGAACAGAACATAGAGCCCAGAAATAGATGCCCATGAATACAGTCTACTCATCTTTAACAAAGAAGCAAAGGCAATACAATGGAGCAAAAACAAGTCTTTTCAACAAGTGGTGCTGCAACAACTAAACATCCACATACAGTAAACTTAATCTAGGAAAATTAATCTTATACCCTTCACAAAAATGAATTCAAAATGGATACAACCCTAAATGTAAAACACAAAACTATTAAAGTCCTAGAAAATCCAGATGACCTTGGGTTTCGCTATGACGTTTTAGATTCAACACAAAAGGCATTCTTAGCTTGTGAGCAATACAAAAACAGTCCATTGCTTATAGCCCCTTGTGTTAAGTGAAAGAAGGCAGACATAAAAGACTACATGATGCATGGCTCCACGTAAATACCAAGAGGCACTTATCCCTTCCTCCCTTTTTACCTTCTTTCTTGATTTTTTTTTTAAGATTTATTTATTTATTTATTTTATAGAGAGAAAAAGAGAATGCAAGAGGTGGGGAGGGGCAGAAAGAGGGAGAGAGCGAACCCCAAGTGGGCTCCCCGAGTGCACAGCCCAGACATGAGGCTTCATCCCATGACCCTGAGATTGTGACTTGAGCTGAAGTTAAGAATTGGATGCTCAACCAACTGAGACACCCAGGCACCCCTCTTTCTTGATTTATGATTAAATGAGCTCAAGTAAAAAACCCTGGCATATGATGGATATTTAATAAGTATTATTTTTTGTTTATGTTCCCCTCCCATCATTCTTTAAAATAGTCCATCTCTCTAAGGCATCAAAATTAACAATAGAAAATATAACAAAGAGGATATAAATGGATTGAAAAGTAAATGTGTAAGAAATAAACTCTAGCGGCAGCTGGGTGGCTCAGTCGGTGAAATGGCGGACTCTTGTGATTTTGGTTCAGGTCAGGATCTCAGGGTCCTAGAATGAAGCCTGCATCAGGCTGCAGGTTCAGTGGGGGAGTCTACAGCTCACCCTGCTGGAACTCTCTCTCTCCTCCTTTCTCCCTCTATCTCTTAAATAACAAATAAATAAATCTTTTTTTTTAAAAAAAGGAATAACGTCTACAGAGACACACAACAGTGGTAGTAGGTAGGGTGGTAGAAAGAAGGACTTTTACTTTTTAAACACTATTGAGTTATTTTAATTTAACTAAGGCCTGCAATTCCTAGGGAATAGTGGAATATTTTACATTTTTGAGGGAATCACAGGCATAGTTGAACATACTTGACATATGTTGAACACCACGAACGATTAGCTTCAAGTAGCTCACAGTTTCAATGTTAGATCATACTATTTCTTTTGTTGTCATATCTCAGTGAAGCTAGATTTTCAATGGTTGCTGTGATTAAAAAAAATAAAATAAAAAGTACTACCCGAAAACAAAGACGAATAGGAAATAAAGTTGGCAATACCTAATCTGATTCCAAATCTTGAAAAGTTATGAAGTGGCCAGAAGGTATTATCTTTTTTTTTTTTTTTTAAGATTTTATTTATTTATTTGACAGAGAGAGAGAGCGAGAGCAGGAACACAGGCACGGGGTGTAGGAGAGGGAGAAGCAGGCTTCCCAAAGAACAGAAGTCTGATGCAGGGCTTAATCCCAGGACCCTGCAACCATGACCTCAGCCAAAGGCAGATACTTAACCAACTGAGCCACCCAGGTGCCCTCAAAAGGTTATTACCTTTACATTAAATAACTGTGGTAATTCTTAAAGTAATCTTTTTAATTTACATTAATTTTTTCAAATGGCTCTTGGTTAAGTATAGATAGTTATATATTAAGTAGTTTGGACCTACTACTTAGAAGAACTGATATATTTAGGGTGCCACGAAAAAATTACTGAGATAGAAGGTTGCCTCAAACCCACAAAGTCTAGAAAGCTCTGGTCATACCTGTCGGCAAGTGTGTGTGTGACACACACATTTCCACTCAATCACGATAATCAACATAAAACTTTTCTTGTACTTACCTCAGTGCTTGAAGCAACTAAGGAAAATTCACGAGAGAGATTAAGCTTAACGCCATCAAAATTTATTTCCGAAGGCCTTGCAATTGGGTCAGCACTAACAACATAAGATGGTCTAGGCACTCCATCTTGATTTAAATTAGATTCCATTCTGCAAAAATAACAGTAACTTCAGATAATCTTAATAAATTAGCATCTAAGCCACCCATGGTTTAAGAATTGAGTCCAGTCCACTACTAACCCCCATATAACTAGATTTCCAAAGAAGGAAAACATTAGACTGCCTCATCTGTAACATGATGACCCAGGGAAAAGACAATGATCAAAGTATTTACAGACTCTGAATCAAATAATAATGGCCACAGCCTACCACTACTACTCATATGACCCAACCTATAGGTAGATTCATCCAAAGAGATTTCATGAACAAAGGTAGCCCATTACATAAAACAGTATAAAACATTCAATCTCTGCCTGAAATCCTCTCAGAAATCAAAAAAGAGTAATTTATAATCTTGTGTTATTTTAGTTATTTAATGTCTTCTGAGAATGTTACCTATAAACTCTGTAACGTTTTAGCATTTAAGAGCTAAACTCGGTTATGTGCACAATTGAACTCTTTCTACTGAATTCTTCCAAATAATGCAAGTGAAAAGTGAAGTAATGTGTGATACTCTGTAAAGGCTTAAAAATTAAGGTGAATATGGAATAATGCATCCTGACACACTGTAGGCTTAAAAATTAAGGTGAATATGGAATAATGCATCCTGACACACTGTAAGGCTTAAAAATTAAGGTGAATATGGAATAATGCATCAAAATGTTACAACTAAATTAAACTTTAACTAAAAAATTTTAACATTCTAATAGTTATTGACAATCTACTAGATGAATAATACCACAAACAAATTCAGGACCAAAAGACTGAAACCACTAATGCCTTTTGGAGTTCTCTGACCCTGGGACTCCCCAATGTGCTGCAGAGAAAAATCACTTAAGACCATAAGCCCCCAATTCTAATTCTTCCTCTCCTTCCCCTCCCAAACTCCTAGTTCCCTTGCCTTTTTACCCTTCTAGTGGTCCTTCACTCTACTTTCTGGAAGGTCTCATGCTGTGGGGGACTTCCCTTGCATGCAATCCTGTCAAAGTGCTACCCCAGTAAACCTCCTTGTGTGTGATACCACCATACCGTGGTCATAGCTTTCTCCTTGATCAGCCCTGAAACCCACAAACTCAATACAACAGGGTTGTGTTTTTGTTTTTCCTAAATCTCCAAAAGACAAAGGAAATTATTTACTGTGCACAAAGCCCAGCAAACTACACGATCAACCAAACATACACTTAAACAAGTTTAGTACCTTGACTGCTTTTGTCTTTATTGTATTAAATCAGTGACATAATAAAAATGGGATAATTACTTAAATGTAGTTTAATAGAATATTTCAAACATGCAATGTACGGATGAATATTAAGAAAAAGGGTATGTGATAGAGTAAAAATAACCACTGATCTACAACATAGAGGAAAAGTTTGCAAAAACATTAAAGCAATGGCTTGACATCACATAAATCAAATTTTATGGAAATGCCCATGAACTTGGAAGATAAATTTCACTTTGTCTTCAATTAATTTCTGGTTTAAAAAACAGATAAATCTTTTATTAAATTATTGAATTAAAAAGAATAACTAGGGGCGCCTGGGTGGGTCAGTGGGTTAAGCCTCTGCCTTCAGCTCAGGCCGTGATCCCAGGGTCTTGGGATCGGGCCCCACATCGGGCTCTCTGCTCAGCAGGGAGCCTGCTTCCCCCTCTCTCTCTGCCTGCCTCTCTGCCTACTTGTGATCTCTGTCAAATAAATAAATAAAATAGGCTTAAAAATTAAGGTGAATATGGAATAATGCATCCTGACACACTGTAGGCTTAAAAATTAAGGTGAATATGGAATAATGCATCCTGACACACTGTAAGGCTTAAAAATTAAGGTGAATATGGAATAATGCATCAAAATGTTACAACTAAATTAAACTTTAACTAAAAAATTTTAACATTCTAATAGTTATTGACAATCTACTAGATGAATAATACCACAAACAAATTCAGGACCAAAAGACTGAAACCACTAATGCCTTTTGGAGTTCTCTGACCCTGGGACTCCCCAATGTGCTGCAGAGAAAAATCACTTAAGACCATAAGCCCCCAATTCTAATTCTTCCTCTCCTTCCCCTCCCAAACTCCTAGTTCCCTTGCCTTTTTACCCTTCTAGTGGTCCTTCACTCTACTTTCTGGAAGGTCTCATGCTGTGGGGGACTTCCCTTGCATGCAATCCTGTCAAAGTGCTACCCCAGTAAACCTCCTTGTGTGTGATACCACCATACCGTGGTCATAGCTTTCTCCTTGATCAGCCCTGAAACCCACAAACTCAATACAACAGGGTTGTGTTTTTGTTTTTCCTAAATCTCCAAAAGACAAAGGAAATTATTTACTGTGCACAAAGCCCAGCAAACTACACGATCAACCAAACATACACTTAAACAAGTTTAGTACCTTGACTGCTTTTGTCTTTATTGTATTAAATCAGTGACATAATAAAAATGGGATAATTACTTAAATGTAGTTTAATAGAATATTTCAAACATGCAATGTACGGATGAATATTAAGAAAAAGGGTATGTGATAGAGTAAAAATAACCACTGATCTACAACATAGAGGAAAAGTTTGCAAAAACATTAAAGCAATGGCTTGACATCACATAAATCAAATTTTATGGAAATGCCCATGAACTTGGAAGATAAATTTCACTTTGTCTTCAATTAATTTCTGGTTTAAAAAACAGATAAATCTTTTATTAAATTACTGAATTAAAAAGAATAACTAGGGGCGCCTGGGTGGGTCAGTGGGTTAAGCCTCTGCCTTCAGCTCAGGCCGTGATCCCAGGGTCTTGGGATCGGGCCCCACATCGGGCTCTCTGCTCAGCAGGGAGCCTGCTTCCCCCTCTCTCTCTGCCTGCCTCTCTGCCTACTTGTGATCTCTGTCAAATAAATAAATAAAATCTTTAAAAAAAAAAAAAAAGAATAACTATATCTCTTTTAAAAAGTAAGGTTACAGTATTTGTTCTTGTTCATGTTTAGTTTCAATAAACTGCCTCTTAACATTTATAAAATTGTTGAGACGTACTGTCACATCTTGTACTTTTGGTTAACTTCTACTTGCATGTGAGAAGTTAACTTCTCCCTAACTAGACTACAGATCTCTTGACAGCAAGAACTTTCTTTGTCTTATACTACTCTGTATCCCCTACAACTCATTCAGAGATGCATGAGTGATAAAAACTACCTGTCTGATGACTTAAATAGTAATAATAAAATCCTCTAAACCAAAGAAATATAAAAATTGGTACTACTCTTTCAGTGATAATTATCTTTAGCAGCAGCAGTGTTCAAGACTTCATTTCTCATTTCAGAAGGCTGTTCCCATGACTGAAAATTGCATCTTTTATCTTCTCTCCAGTGAGAGTCCATGGTTGAACACTGGTGACAGATAACAAATCTGCTACTCAATGAGGTTTCTGAATGTCATCCACAAAATGCAGTCTCAAATATCTATCATCTAACTGATGAATCCTTTATATGATTTTTCAAATCGAAGTCTTGGGTCTTGGACATCTAAATATATATATATATATAGAGAGAGAGAGAGAGAGCACTATCTCTGCTTCTGGGTAAACATGCTACTTGGTTTTAAAACCAACAAAAGCAAACCTGAATCTGGTCACTTTAAGCAAGAATTGCTTAAGGCACGAACTTGTGTCAACTAATCATTCAGCAAAGACTATTAGACGGTGTGTCAGGCAAGAATCACTGAAGCAGGTAGTGGAACAACATGGAGGGAAACATTCTAAAGAGGGGGATGAGAGCAATAATTGAATTCGCCACACACACTCCCTTCCACTTGGTACTGCAAAGCCTAAGAGGGCAAGCCCCAGGCACCTGCGGCAGCCTGGAAATTAACGCACAGATGGCCGCGACAGGGCTCCCTACAAAAAGAGGTCATAGCACCTGCCAAGCAAACTGCTCACCTCGGGGATTCAGAAAACTAGGCTTGGCAATGGAGACCTGCGCCTCAACAGCAGCAGCAGCAAAGCAATAGTAAAAACATTAATGACTGCAAACACCTGGTGCCTAATATATACTAGCACTGTTTCTAACAACTTTCCATACTATATTATCTTCACAAGGACCGAAAACAAGTACTATTATTAGTAGCCCTTTTAACAGATGACCCAGAGAGATTAAATATGTTGCCTTGCCTCCCTCAGCGAATATGCGGTGGAGACAAGATTTAAGCTCCAACCCAAGTAGCATGGCTCAACCCTACGATGCGCAGGCGGCGCCCACTGTCCCCAGGAGCACCCATCGCCCTACAACCCAGTTCCTGAAAGAATCCTCACGGGCATCGCGATCCCCGTCGGAAGGCACTCACACCGCCAGCGCGTTTCCCAGCCTCAGGCCTCGTATATGCGCAGTCACCCCACCTCCTTCTTCGCACCCTCACCTGGACGCACCGCTTCACCTGCAAAAATTGTCTGGGCCGCCCAATCTACGCGCAGCACCGCGGTGTTTTCGTTTTCAAATTCAAACAATGGCGGCGAAGTTAGCGCACGGAACGCTGGGAGTGGGCGGAGCTTCCGGAACGACCTCCGGGACCGCGGAGACTCGCGCGGTGGGTTTCCCACCCGCTCCCGGAAGAAGCTTTCAAATCTGGGGCGGATCTCAGGACGCCGCTAGTCACTGGGCGGAGGGGCTGGTGGGCCGCGGGCGGGAGGAGGGCTGGAGCTCTGCGCCGAGTCAGGTGTGCAGAGCGGGCTGGGGCGCTGCATGGTTGCTGCGATGGCTACCACCTCTGTTGGCGTGGACGCCAAGTCTCGGATACAGTCCTGCAGATGAGACGTAGCAAAGGCCTGGAGGTGAGGCCGCTGCCACCGCACTTGGCCCCGTGACTCCCCCAGGGACCGGCGGAGGAACGGAGAGTTAGCCTCTGCCCTGACGCGTCCCCGCAGGCGGGAGCAGGCTTCGCCTCCCCGAGAGTCGCTTAGAACTAGGGCAGTCCGCACCCAAAGGGAGACTTCTATCGCTGCCTGACCCCACCTGTCATCCCCAGTGACCCTCCTGGTCGGACGAAATAAGTTTCTCCCAGAATAAACTTTTATAGGCATTTTCTTTTCTTTTCTTTTTTCTTTTTTAATCTTTCTTGCCATTCCGAAAATATAAAGCACCTACCGCTGCCAGGCGCTGTGCTGTGACAGTCTAAAAATCCCATGCGTAGGCAAGGTCTTTGCTCAAAACGTAAGTGCCAGTACAGCCTTATCTGCTTCTTTTAAAGTGATCCTGTTCTTTTGTGTGTTGCTATAATATTCACGACAAGCATTTATTACTTAGGCCGCCTCTCCCTGCTGTGCTTGATTTTAAAGAAAAATAACTGCTAAGGTTAATTGAAATTTTACCTTGTGGCAGTCTTGAAATTAAGCATATAAAGTGGATCGTTTTAATAATCCTGAGAACAGCCCTTTGAGGTAGGTACTATTATTAACCCCATTTTATCGATTCCGAGGAAACTGAGTTCATATGGTTAAGTAATTTGCTAAAAAACCTATGGCTATTAAGGGAGGAATTGGGAATTGAAGTCAGCGGAATGATTTCATAGACCCACCCTCTTACATAGGGTCTTATTTTTTACTATTTTGCTTGATTAGGAGCAGTTTTAGAATACCTACTTTGATGAACTTCAAGTCTTCCTTACCTTATCATTCTATGTATCTCCCTCCACTTACCTCTTCTCTAACTAACTTCCCACTGTCTCCTCCTTCAGTTCATCTTCTTTCCCCACAAGATAATCATTTAAAGTGAGCCATTTTGGAGTAGAGGAGAGGATGCAAGGCCAAGAGTTAAAATGAACAGAGAAGGGGCGCCTGGGTGGCTCAGTGGGTTAAAGCCTCTGCCTTCCGCTCAGGTCATGATCCCAGGGTCCTGCGATCCAGCCACGCATCGGGCTCTCCGCTTGGCCAGGAGCCTGCTTCCCTTCCTCTCCCTCCCGCTGTCTCTCTGCCTACTTGTGATCTCTGTCAAATAAATAAAATTTTTTTAAAAAAATGAACAGAGAAAGTCAATGTAAAGGGGAAGACACGAGGAAAGATAAAATAAAAGCTATGTCCTCCTCTCCAGGCTGGGACGAAAGTCTTTGGTGAACTCAGTGTCAAAGTCTCCTTTGCTCTTTCAGGCAGGTCTACCCCTAAATCTGTGTTTCTTGTCATACCTCACAACATCTTTATTGCTTTTATTTTAAGATTTATTTATTTATTTATTTGGCGGGGGGAGAGAGAGCGCGAGCGCGCGCGAGTGCACAACGGTGGGGGGGGGGGGGGGGCAGAGGGAGAGGGAGAAGCAGACTCCCCTGCTGAGCAGGGAGCCCAACCCAGGACCGGGAAATCATTACCAGAGCCCGAGGGGAAGGGAGATCCTATGCAACTAAGCTACCCAGGCACCCCTGCCTTTCTTTCTTTTACCAGCTGTTACTGAGTCCTGCCTCCTGAACCCTCCAGGGGTTCTGTTTATTTATTATTTGACAAATACTTATTGAAATCCTGCTTGCTATGTGCCAAATGCTAGGCTGGAAGTTAGGGAAACAGTGGAGGAGAGTGAGCAAAATAGACACTTACCCTCAAGGAGCTTACTTTCTAATGGGAGAACCAATCAAGTTTAAAAATACAAATAATTGAGAAATTACAACTGTACTGAGTGGTTTCAAGGAAAGTATTCTAAGAGCTGTAAGACTATGTCACGGGGAATCTGAGAAAATAATGTTTGATCTGCATCTCCACAGCTCATTAGGAAATTAACCAGGTTTTAAAAAGAGAGAAAGGAGTAAGCATTCCAAGCATAGGAAAAATAATACCAGATACAGGGGAAGCAAAAAAAAAAAAAAATCCAATGGATTCTCTTATTTTTATCTTGCTCCCAGAAGCAGCCACACAGTTAAATGTTTGAGCCTTGCCACCTCATTTGTCTTCTGGGTCAGCAAAAAGTCATTTTGTCCTTGTTTACTCCCAACCTTACTAACCACCTGTCTTAATCTCCTTTTCTATCTTTTCTATCTAACCTCTAAATTATGGGCATCCTCAGAGCTTGGTCCTGAACCCACCTTTTTCTCTCCACTATAGTCGTCCTTTTGGCAACCTCATCAACTCCCGTGGTTTTAAGTATCTTTATCCTTACTGGTGACTTCCAAATTCCTCGTCCTTTCCAGACCTCTCCTCTGAACGCCAGACAGATGCAAATACCTGAGTACCCACTTAACATCTCTACTCTATTCAATATGGGACGGTGATTTTTCACTCCAAACCCCAACTTCTCTCCTTCCCAATCTCCATCTCAGTGAATGACACCACCATGTCCCTGCCCAGTTACTCAAGACAAATAAAAGAATCATCCTTAGGTCCTCCTTTTCCCTCAGCAGCTTCACTCAGTTCATAAACAAATTTATCTGTTGTGCTTTTGTGTTATAAGTAAAATAAACACCTATTTCCCTTTTCATTGCCCAGACCACCATAGCCTCCCAACTTGTCTTCCTGCTTAAGATCCTGCTCTCCTCCACAACATTCTTCGTAGAGCAACCAAACTAATTTCAAGGTGTAATGATCAAGTCACTCCCTGTCTTAAAGCTCTTCAGTGATTTCAGAAAAAATTCATATTTATGTTTTTAAGGGAAGAAAATAGATAAAAGAATTTAAAAATACACTAAGTTTTGTGTAAGAAAGAAGAAATGAAAGTATACATACATACATTCTACACACATGTTGGACCTGTTTTTTAAGAAATAAATTCAAAAACTCTAAATCAGAAAATTAGCTGAAAATAGTTCCCTGTGGGGGTAGGAATGTTTTGCAGGGACTAGTGATGGCAGTGTGGCTTCTCTGAATAACCTATATAAATATATGTATATATACATGTGTGTGTGTGTGTGTGTGTGTGTGTATACATACACGTATATATATAAATTTTTTTTGCCTTTTCAAAACATTAAATCTAGGGGCGTCTGCGTGGCTCGGTTAAGCCTCTGCCTTCAGCTTAGGTCATGATCTCAGGGTCCTGGGATCAAGCCCCACATCGGGCTCTCTGCTCGGCGGGCAGCCTGCTTCCCCCCTCTCTCTGCCTGCCTCTCTTTCTACTTGTGATCTCTCTGTCAAATAAATAAATAAATAATCTTTTTTAAAAAAAACTTTTAAAAAGAAAAACGTTAAATCTAAAGCCCTGGAAATAAAACCAAGCCCTAAAATTTAATACAAAGAAAGAAATGAACATACTTGAATATCAATTTGCCAGCATAACTATACAGAGAAAAAGCATTCAGTCAATTAACTGAGCACAGTACTCTATCAACTGGAATTAGGAGTTGTACAGTGCAAAGAAATCAATAACTTCACCTAGTAGGTTTGATGTTGAAAGGGGTATTGGTGTAGCAATTTTGAAACTACTATGCATGAGTTATAGGACAATGCAAATGAGGAAATAGATTCATGTTGCTTAGAACTGAGGTTCTCACAGTAGGAGAAGAAGATAACAAATACAGAATGATAGAGGCTAAGGAAGAATCCCACATTGCTGGATTTGAATTGGTGGTAGTAAAATCAAGTTATGATTTTTTTTTTTAATCTCAATTGGTCCATTAACAGGACCTAGAGGCATAGAAACCCCAACTCCCCAGTGAGAAGAAGCACACCTAGCATCAAGCCACCCACACAGTTGCTAAATACCATTCATCACTAAAATGAAATAGTGCTCCTTGGAGAGAAGGCTAATTCATACCTGGAGCAAAGAAATTGCAAAATGAGCCTAGAACATTCTTCTCAGAAACCAAAGAAGTTCTTAGAGATTAACAGGGACATTTCAAAGGATATTGGACCTGGATTAACAGAGCTGCTGTTGACCACACTTGAAGCAATTTGAGCATTGAAAAGAGTAATAATGTGGTGAGAAACCAAAACAGATTTAATTTTTTTTAAGTTGTCTCCATGAAAAGGAGAAATGAAATAAAAATGAAAAGTTCTTCTTTACACAGGAATGCCAGTTAATGAATACAAATGAAACAATAAATAGAAAATCCCCATTTTGCACTTTCCAATATAAAAATTAATATGGGTAGGGATGCCTGGATGGTTCAGGTGTTTAAGCATCAGTCTTCAGCTCAGGTCATGATCCCTGGGTCCTGGGATTGAGTCCTGCTTCTCCCTCTGCCTGCTGCTACCCATGCGTGTGTGCTCACTCAATCTCTCTCTCTCTCTCCGTCTGGCAAATAAATAAAATCTTATAGATACATGCTGAAACAGTGGCTGAAATGAAATGAAATGCTAAAATCATTGGCTGAAAGGTTGTTGGGGAAGAGGACTTTAACACTATCTCAAAGAGCGTCCTAGAGATGATTTCACAATCATAAAGGGAAAGGGTAATATTACAACATAGAGATTTATTTATTAGATATACCTTAGCCAAATGAGGAAACAGCATCACCAACAATGGAGCAATTTATCACCTGATGATATCTGTGCCAGAAATGTTTAACCTAAATCTA